AAGAGGCATGAAGATAAATCCCATGAGTAGTAGTACCAGCAAGATATCGAAGAATGCGTTTGGCAGCTTGCCAATGATCATGTGTCGGACGATGCATAAATTGGGATAGACGATTGACTGCATATGAGATATCTGGCCGAGTAAAAGAGAGGTATTGTAAACTCCCCACAACAGATCGGTATTGTGAAGCATCATCAAGAGCGAGGCCACTGTTCACTGTAAGCTTTGGCGTCGTACGAAGTGGTGTTGAGGCTGATTTAGCATCGAGCATGTTAGTCTTGAGTAGAAGGTCAGTAATATACTTCCTTTGCATAAGATGTATACCACTAGAGGAGCGTGAAACCTCAATGCCCAGAAAGTAATGAAGATCAACAGGATCTTTGATGGAGAAACGATCAGCAAAGGAGGTTAAAACTGATGCGATTGTGTCAGAGTGATTACCGGTAACGATGATGTCATCGACATAGACAAGAACATACGTGAGATGAGACCCGGATCCTCGAATAAACAGTGAGGCATCAGCAAGAGAATTAGTGAAACCAGCATGTAGAAGATGTTGTTTGAGAGCCATATACCAGGCGCGAGGTGCTTGCTTAAGCCCATAGATCGGTTTCTTCAAGCGACATACATGCATAGGTCTATCTTTATCAACAAACCGTTCTTTCAAGCCCTACTTAGGCAAGTGCCAGCTGTGTAACACTCAAGGACACAGTGCTCGTCGTTGTCCACAGCTCCTCTCACTTCAGTCTAGCTCCAACAGTAACAGCAGCCCCTTTACTCCTTGGCAGCCGCGTGCAAACATGGCAGCAATTGTTGACAGTGGAGCTACACACCACATTACCTCTGATTTAAACAATCTCTCGCTGCATCAACCTTACACCGGTGGAGATGATCTCATGATTGCTGATGGCACTAATATGTCCATCACTCACACGGGTTCAATGCTTCTTCCTTCTCAAACTCGCGCTTTAAAATTAGATAAAATTCTTTGTGTTCCTAATATACGCAAGAATCTTATCTCCGTGTATCGTCTTTGCAACGCTAACCGCGTTTCTGTTGAATTCTTTCCTGCTTCATTTCAGGTGAAGGATCTCAGTACGGGGGTCCCATTACTCCAAGGCAGAACGAATAAAGAGTTGTATGAGTGGCCAGTTGTGAATCAAAATGCTGTAGCAATGCTATCTTCGTCTGGTCCAAGAACAAGTCTGTTTTCATGGCATTCACGCTTAGGCCATCCTTCTTCTTCCATTTTAAACACTATTCTCTCTTCCTTTTCACTTCCTGTTGCAACTTCTACTCAAAAATCATTATCATGTTCTGATTGCCTTATTAATAAAAGTCACAAGCTTCCATTTTCTCAAACCTCTATTACTTCAAAACGTCCTCTTGAATACATTTTTTCTGATGTTTGGACCTCTCCAATATTGTCTCTCCAAAACTACAAATATTATCTTGTTCTTGTTGATCATTTTACTCGGTATACATGGCTCTATCCGCTGCGAAGAAAGTCTGATGTGAAAGAAGTCTTTACGGTTTTTAAAGCTCTTGTTGAAAATCGTTTTCAAACAAAGATTGGGACGCTATTCACTGATAATGGAGGGGAATTTGTGGCTCTGCGGACTCTTCTTGCAACACATGGCATTACTCATCTTACCTCTCCGCCCCATACTCCTGAACATAATGGCTTGTCAGAACGCAAACATCGTCATGTCGTCGAAACTGGCCTCACTCTCATGTCCATGGCGTCAATACCGAAAGAACATTGGCCGTATGCCTTCGCAACCGCTGTCTATTTAATCAACCGTATGCCCACACCAGTGTTAGCTCTCCAATCACCATTTCAGAAGCTTTTTCATAGACCTCCAAATTATGAAAAGTTACGAGTTTTCGGTTGTCTCTAAAACCTAAAATTTTCTTTTGCTCTGATACCATATAGGTTCTGAATGTTTCTTAATATTAACAAATGACCAATTACAAGAATATATAGTACAGAGGAGACATAGGGTAAAAAGTATTTACAAGATAATCCCTATATTCTATTTATTTAACCATATCCTTCTATATGTTGTACTTGATAGTTGCTATAAGCTGCATGGAGCTTATCCAAAAGGTAACATTTGAATTCGAATTTTTGTTTAATCCTCAGGCATTATCAGATATACTCATTTTTTCTTCTTGCTTTTGGTATCAGATACTTCAGAAACGAGTCTTGTGGTATCTGCTAGATGTTGCAGAACCAAACTACAAAATCACCAAACTGCATCTTGGTCCCATTCTCTTGGCGTTTGCTTTGCATGGAGTAATGGTGGTGATTGTGCTTCACCTACCAATAAAAACAATCAGTCTCATCAGCCAGTCCTTTTTCCCTCTCCAAATTGGGTAAGCTCCTCTGGGCTTTACCACATAATTTTTTTAAAATTTCTGGATTCTTGAACAATATGTATTACGGGATTGCAGGGTCTACGAGGAGGATTCTGCGCTTCGTTTACTTATTGCTTATACGTGCCTAATTAGATTTGGCCCCTGGTGGTTAGTCAGCTTAATTAGACCATCCATCAGACCCATAGTTCACAAGTGGATTATCACTATCAGTTCTTTGCTCAAGTTAAGTGATTTCTTGCTCGGAGATCCCCTCAGAGACCGTGCAAATCGTAATGTGAGACCGCTGTTTCTAGTATTTGGCCTAGCTGAAGGCTCTATGGTCAGTTTGTATGGATCTCAAAGCGATACCACCTGTGAAGAGGATACAAACGACCAACGAGATAAAAGGTAACCCGGTAACAAGCTTTTTAATTCTGGTACAATATTCATTCTGATTAGTTGAAGTTTCAGGTTTATGCTGAGGATTGGAGTGATGTTTGTTCTAGCTGCTCTGAGTATGTTTCTTGTTAGTACAACCTTCATGGCTCTACCACTCCTAGTGGGAAGGGAGTTCTTCCACTCTATCTCTTTCTTCACGATAAGTTTCGGATTCAAACACGACGGTTTGTAATTTCTGAATCTTGCCTCATACGTATATCTCTCCTTTGATTTGTGCTTCTAATTATGTTTAAAAGTGCCTCTCTTCAAATCAATCATTTTAGATCTTTGTGCTTTCTCGATTGGATTCTGTATCCTGCGAGGACTCTATATCGTCACTTGCTTCGTCTATGATCATCTCGTGACGGAAAAAACAGATTTACTTGTCAACCATGTCCTGATCTTCATACGGAATGTCTTGTTATTCTCCATCTGGGTAACAAGACTCAAATATCTGTCATTGAATATTATGACTTTTGAATCATCTTTTGTTGTGAACATTTATATGTATAACTTGTAAACCCTGATGAATAGATCTCCATCATACCGGGATTGCTCGGTCTCCTTATTGACCTTATGATCATCATACCATCACAAGTTCTGCTAGATGAATCCTCAGTATATATCTTGTACCACAATTGGTTGATCGGTGTGGTTGTCCTTCACATCTGGATCATTCTGGTAAGAGTGTTTTTTTTTTCCAATCAAGAACTTATATTCTTCAACTGCTTCAGTCAAGAACTTATATTTTTACTGCTGAACAAGTAACTGTTTTCTTCCCGCGCAGACTATGTACACTGGGATCAACTGTTTCACGACTGTGGCATGGCGGGAAAAGCTGCAGAGAATCAGAAGCGTTGGAATCAACCGACTTCCTTTTAAGTGGCTGATTCGAGACGTTATTGATTCGATCATAGTGTCCCTGTTATTCACTCTATGTGTTCCCTACGTGGTGGTGAACTCTCTGTTCCCGATTCTTGGATTTTCCAGTGAAGTCAACTTAGCCGTCCAGCGGTTCATTTGGCCGGCGATCCTAACCTTAATCCCCATATGGTTTATTGTCAAGCTCATTCGTGTTCTTATCACTTACATTCACCAACTGGAATTTGATAATCGATACAAAGTGGGAGAGAGGCTGATGGATCTCACTGACGAGCAGGCTGGAGTAACAACGACCAAAACCAATGGCTAACGATAGAGAATAGTCTTCAATTATAAGTACATATACAGTTTCTTATGTTGTAGTATCTCTTAAGTAACTAATCTATGAAATGCAAACACCTTAAGACGATGATTAGGATTCAAAATTTTAAACAAAAGATAGTTTCATATGTTTAATATCTCATTTATATTCACCGACTGGAATACGAAGATAGATACTAGGTGGGTGATTCGTCTTCATTGAAGATTATGAAGAATGGAGTTTCTTTGGGGCGTTGAGTTTCATAAGTATGATAATGGATATTGCACTTGTGTAGATAGCTTCTGATATGCAATTGGTAAGATTGATTAGTTTCAAAATGTGATGTAAGTTTTTTATTCTCAACAACATAATGTACAACAGAGGTATTTTCCAGAATAAATGTATAGCCAAACTTGAAACTGGAATACTATTGTTTGGTGCTAATAAGTAAAGGGAGCTTTAGAATCTAACCAAAAAAACTTGAGTAAAATTCTACATTTTATGGCGATCATTGTTATTTAGACACACTTGCCTCATCTGATTTTTGCTTCTTCTCAACTTGAGCTCGTAAAGAACGGATGATCAAGAGCTTCATTTGCTGTGAGACGCTCAGATGGATCATATGTCAGTAAACCATACAACAGATCTGCAAATCTGGATCTTGTGTTGTCAACATGTTTCGATAGCATATCCTGCAAGAAATGTGAGCAGCTTCTACTTCAGATTACGGCATATCGGACAAAAGATATATCATTGGACAATGAGAATTTAATTGCGCTTAAACCTTGAGACGATCGAGTCTTTTTACAGCTCTAATACTCTCTCTAGAATTGGCTCCTTCTGGCCAATTCAGCCTATACCCTCTCCTGAAATATTTCTCAGCACCTCGGCTGCAAAAACATAATGACCGTACATGCAACAAGTGATTAGCATTTATGCCTCTGTGGACTTTCGTGTTCCCAAAAGTTTGTGGAAATATAAAGCTAACCTGGCTTTTCGGGTCATATGTTCAGGCAAAGGTCCCAATGCCCTCTCCATCATAGCTAGATGTTCTAAGTTATCATGCGTCTGAAAGAGAGCCTCACCCTAAAGTAGAGAAAGATGTTGACAATTGTAAGCAAAGCTACTCAAAATTAGGAGATAAGAATTCATACAACAAGATGAAAAAAAGACTTTACCGTGCATAGTTCAAATAGTATACAACCTATACTCCACAAGTCACACTGGTAACTCCATCCTAGACCTGCAATAATATGCAACTGGTTAGTTACCAAAAAATAAGTATGTTCATTCAATGGTAAGTGTCAGCTACACAATCCGCAAGCATGCATCGACAAGCAAATAACTTATTTACTTACCTAAAATGACCTCCGGGGACCTGTAATGCCTTGTTTGGACAATGGAGTGATGAATCCGGTTATCACAAACAGTACTGCCAAAATCAATCAGCTTAATGGCGCTTGACTTTGGTAAGCATCTGAAATGTGTCTCATTTGACGAACTCCTCTGTTAATTAAAATCAAACACCAAACTGTCAGAAGTGCAAACTCTTTAAAGGACGTTTTTTTCTTTACAAAAACTAGCCTATCAAAACTAGATAGGCTGTACCCAAACCCAACCTTAACCTAATTCAGTTCTAGATACCTTATTGTCAGGAAGTTTTACATTTTCAGAAGACACCAGAAGAATGTTTTCAGGCTTGAGGTCGGTGTGAACTAATTGTAACTCGTGCATATCTGTAGATAAGAAAAAAAATTATGTTAAGAGCAGAGAGGCATTAGGTACTAGGTAGGAACTACAGCTACTGACCCCAGACAGAAAAAAACGGTTAAGATAAACATGCTAGGTACGAAATTGTATTAAAGAACAGCAGAAAGGAACAATCACAGACATGCTACAGATTCCAAAAGCTGGCATCCAAAATCCCGAACAAGGGCCAGAGGAAATGCGGAGTATTTATTTCTCTTAAGAAAGTCAAACAAACTTGGCCCAAGCTTCTCGAACACCTGGTATCACCATTAGAATCCATTCAAAGGAAGGTTTTGTTTAGTTCCAGACTTCATTGACAAAATCCACATGGATAAACTAACTACCACAAACACTATACACGGATTGGATTTTTGTTACTTGGGCATCAAAACAAACGAAAGGTAGCCATAATGATTATGATTAATTCACTTCTTACAATAACAAAGCTCACAAGTCACTGAACATAGAACCAATTAATTATTAGAGATGCATTTCAATGGTGGTAGAAATCAGTGAAACTTGATTGGGACACTTACAATGCAAATATGATTCCGGTAATCAAACCAGTCCTTCATCTGTACACAGCTGCAAGGACAAAACAGAAATGAAGAAACTGAGCAATTATATATACACATATGTAGGAAACAATGTAACTCTTGCGATCATCTAGAATCTAGAAGAAAAATAAATACCGTGTGCGGCCTTTATCACTCTTAACAAGTTTTTGAAGTACATCAATTTCAATCATTGCTGCATCCCGGTATTTCTTAATGCTTCGGATGATCTTTATTGCCACATATTCTTTTGTATCACGATCCCAACATTCCAAAACCCGACCAAATGTGCCTACAACACCAGCAAGTTCACTGAAATGGCACGATTTGATTCACATAAACAGTTTTTTATCTCGAACACACCATGCCACTTGACAGCTAACCTTCACCCATCTTGCTTAGTATTTTATCTGTCGTAACAGAACACACAATCACGTAAGTTAACAGCTTAAAATGTTCATACAGGATTCTTATGTCAATGAAACAAAACCGGAAAAAAAAAAAAAAAAGGATCATCTCTGAGGCAATACTAGTAACAATGCACGTATACTAAGTACCATGTAATTTAAAGACACGGTAAGTCAATGTCTTAGTTCGCACAGAACAGAAAACAATCAAATAAATTCCTGAAGTTGTAATAAACTCACATCTAGGAGTGAGATTCTCCCTCAAACTGAAAACATAATGACCGTCACGATCATCCTCCCTTAAAGGTGGAGACGAAAACCTCCCATCGCTTCCATGCCCTTTAACCACAGCTCTTTTAGCCTATCCCCAAAAAAGTCAAAAACCAATGTCAGCGTATCAAAACCTCACAAAGAATCAAAATACATAAATGATTGGTCTTTCCTCCACATTCTAACCCTAACTCTTCTAATTTCCAAATGTCAAGGAGTAATAAGGGAAGAAGAAAAAGAGCAACCTCAGGTTCATGTGGAGGCTCGTCCCAGGTCATACGAGGACGTTTTCTGATTCGTTCTTTATCCATCTTCTCGAATCCGTTAGCTATCATCACCGACGTCGAGAGTCGATCACCGACGCATCCAGAAGGGAATCTGATGCCAAATCTGCAGCTAAAAGAGGGAAAATTCTACCAGACGTAGATAATAAAAGCACAAGGCGGCGAATCGAATCGAGCGAAGGGCGGCGATTAATCTTTGCCGAAATGGTGGGAAGAGAGGAGGAGGAGGAGTAGCTAGGTTTTCGAACGAGTGCAAAGAGAGTGATTAAAATCTCAGGCAATTTTTACCGGACAAATCCATTGGGGTCGATTCGCGACATCCACCAATTGCATTATTTTTGCACTTTCCTGAGGCGAAACAACTCTACCCGATGATGATGATGACCCGTAAATACTGCCCACCCGGCCCATTTTATATGTGTTTAAATCTGTTACAATTTTGGCCCAAAAGCCCATCATGGATCTACCACGACAATGCACCTATTTTTATAAATTTAAAACGTGACAACAACATCGACGATCACCATCACATATACATGCATGCACCGGAAAAAAGAAGTTCATATTATTCAATTAAAAAACTTAAAATGATTAATACCGATTATACCGATTATACCGTAGTGTATTCAAATCATACCATAGGGGTTTCTTATTTTACTATATAGTTATTTTTGTTTACTATATAATTACTCTTATTAGAATCATGCATGCTCGCAATTATGAGTTTTATGACATGTATTTCATTTGTTTATTAGTACTAGTATTGTTTTGTTCGTTTCTACCCAAAAAAAAGTATTGTTTTGTTCGTTTTGTTTTCAACATTACTACAGTATTCGATTCGTGTCAGGACTCATTTAATAACAACAACAACAACAACATAAAGTCAAGATTTGACTTTTGAGAATCTCAATATTTCAACTATAATATTAAAATAATACTACTAGCTAACTATTACAAATAAATAATTAATCATAAGGAGAAAAAAGAACCTTATCCCTTATCGTAGATCTCGATTATCAATTACTTACACCTGATGTCACCATTAAATAGGTGGCAACAAGAAGCCTTCTGCAAAACAAACAACAAGGTTATAATTCCAAAGAAATAAATTTGTAACACAAACATTAACAAAGAAAAAGGGTTAACGTAAATTCATAATACAATACATTGAAAAAAACTACTATAAGATAGTTATGTAGCTTTCATGTTACCGTATTAAAATAAAATAAAAAAGTCAACACAAATCGCTCACCTCCTCCTCCTCATAATTAAACAATTTAGTATATAAAATATGAAAAAGATGTAGAGAGAAATTAAGTATGCAAGCTTGAATTGGGATCATCAGAGAGAAAAGAAGAAGAAAAAGAGATGTCGACGACGACTTCGGAGGCGAGGTCACCGTTGCCGTTGTTGTTAAGAAGAGGAAGGTCTTCGACGGCGATATCAACGGCAGCTGAAGCGAGATCGCCGTTATCGGCACTGCAGTTCAGAAGAAGGTCGAGCAAAGATGTGAGGAACATAACATCGGTTTCGAGCAGTCTCTTGCCTGCGTTTGGTACTGTCATCGAAGAAGACAACCCTTCTTCCAAACCTTTCATTGTTCTTCACTTTGATCGTCGTTACAGGTTCCTACGCATATATATGCACCCCTTTCATATTTTCTCATTAGCTACTTATCCTTTTTTTTCTTCTTCTCTTGAAGATTAGTCTATAACATATATAAATGTTTTTATTTAGTAATTATTTGTAATGATATAGAAGTGTGATTAATTTGTTGCTTTTTGGTATTTTTAGGTTAGTTCTTTAATTGTCTCTAAATAACATTAATTAAATCAGATTGTGGGAGTTGTTTTTGGTAATACTGGTGGGATATTCAGCGTGGGCATCATTGTTCGAGTTGGCATTCGAGAAAGCAGCAGAAGGAGCTTTCATGACCATTGATCTCGTCGTTGACTTCTTCTTCGCCGTTGATATCATCCTCACTTTTTTCGTTTCCTACTTGGATAATACTACTTACCTCAATGTCACCGACCACAAGCTTATCGCCAAACGGTAATCTTTTATCATCATCATCACTAACAACAACATTCATGAATTCGTTAATTCGTTAGTATTAAAGAATATGTGCATTATTATTAATTTAGGTACTTGAAGAGCGTGGCTTTTGTGATGGACGTAGCATCGACGTTACCTATTCAATTCATTTATAAAACTATTACCGGAAACGTCGGACGAGGCCAAGCTTTCGGCTTCCTTAATTTGCTCCGCCTCTGGCGTCTCCGTCGTGTTACTGAACTCTTTAAAAGGTTTTTTTTTTTTATTTACTCTCTAGTCTCTCTACTATATAGTATTTATATCATTATATAACTTGGGAGTCTTGGACATCATATATATAATCCTCCATATATCTTGTTAATTACAGACTAGAGAAAGACGCATATTTCAACTACTTCGTTACAAGAGTCATTAAACTTCTGTGTGTAAGTTTTTTTTTTTAGTTGAGTTATCACTAATACGTATAGTACCTAATAAGGTGGTCTAATGTTATAATTTCATTACCAAATTAAACTGCCAATCACTAAATTAATTTGATATAGGTAACGATATTTTGGATTCATTTGGCGGGTTGCATTTTATACTGGATAGCCTACCATTATCCAACCCCTACAGAGACATGGATAGGATCACAAGTTGAGGATTTTAAGGAGAGAAGTGTATGGTTAGGCTACACTTACTCAATGTACTGGTCCATTGTCACACTCACTACCGTCGGTTACGGGGATTTGCATGCCGTTAATAACCGTGAGAAGACATTCAACATGTTCTACATGCTTTTCAACATTGGCCTCACTTCTTACATCATCGGTATCATGACCAATCTTGTTGTCCATGGCGCTAATCGTACATTTGCCATGGTAACCTTTCTTGAAATCCAAGAAACCTTTATATATGAAACCTTAAATAAAATATATGTATATACAGGGGAGGGGACATCAGCTCTAATAATGCAATAATAATGTTCTTCCTGTTGGACAGAGGAGTGCGATCAATCATATATTGCGGTACACGAGCAAGAACAGGTTACCTGATTCAATGAGGGAGCAGATGCTTTCACATATGCAGCTCAAGTTCAAGACCGCCGAGTTAAGGCAGGAAGAGGTTCTTCAAGACTTACCAAAGGCTATAAGGTCAAGCATTAACCAGCATCTGTTCCGTTCCGTCATGGAGCAAGCTTATCTTTTCAAAGGATTCCCTGATAACCTCATCGTCCAGCTGGTGATCCATCGTCAACAGTTTCATTTCTTTTCTTCTTCTCTCTGTTCCTTGTTAACCAAGACATTATTAATTATATGTTGTTGTTTTTGGTAGGTTTCGCAGATAAAAGCAGAGTATTTTCCGCCGAAAATGGAGATAATCTTGCAGAATGAGATTCCAACAGATTTCTACATTATTGTATCTGGAGGAGTGGTATGATAACCTAGCTTGTCCTTTATATGTACGTATACTCTATTATATATATTTGACTTCAGTTGATTTAAACAAAATTTGGAATCACAGGATATAATTTCATCCAAGGGTATGAGTCAACAGGTAAAAACTCTTAAGCTAATTTCAGTGATTAAGTAAAAAAAACTACATTATAATAAAGTGTTTGAAAGATTGTTGAAGAGTTGGTCCATAAATGGTGAAGGTATTGACGAAGTTAGGTCCCGGAAGTATGGCAGGAGAGATTGGAGTGGTGTTGAACATACCTCAGCCTTTCACTGTGAGGACACGAGGACTTTCACAAGTTATCCGAATCGGTCATCATAACTTCAAAGAAATGGTTCAGTCTGACAATGACGTCGACGCCAAAATGATCATCACCAATTTCATGAATGTAAGTTCATCAGATTTTACAAAACAGTTTGTAGAGCATCAACAATGATTATAATATAATATTACCAGAGTAATTACTAACATTTTTTTGTTTCTTTTTCTTTCAGTATCTCAAAGGATTGAATGATGAGTTAAAGAAAGAACTTCCTTTTCTTAGAGATTTATTAGCTGACGCAGATGCTCAGGTTCAAGTTCAGGTATAACTAATTTTATAAACCAAGCCCATGCATGCATGTATTAAATATATATATGCATAGTCCTCTCTTCACGGTCTTTAATTGATTTTGAGGTGAAATCTCATTATTTGGTGACAGGAAACAATTCAGACAGAGGAAACACCACAAAGTAACGATGAGGAGATAGCCACGGTCCCAAGAGATGAAAATGAACAGAGTATGAAGACAACTTTTGTAGATTTTGAACTATGATTCTTATGTATATATATATAGACCCCTTAAAAAAAAAATATTGTTATTTGATTGCAGAAGAAGAGAGACGAAGTGAGGGAGTTCCCAAAAGAGTGATAATTCATGGAAAACGTCCTAATCAAGATAACAACAACAATGGTGATTCCAACGGTAGACTTATCATTTTGCCTGATTCTATCCAACTTCTGTTCGACTTAGCTGGTCAGTTTCACTCTTTCACTACTTATGTGTTACTTTGCTTCTCTTTATTATTTAGATATATTTACATATATGAATCCTGTGAGAGAATTAACTAAACAAAAAGTGACCGTCCATTTAAATGTTTCTTTATCGTATACAAAGTACTCGCACACATGTTGTCATATAATATAAAACTCGATCGGTTTATTGGTGGATGCAGAGAAGAAGTTGGGGAAACGAGGAAGCACGATTACCATGGCAGACGGTGCACATGTTGAACAAATTGATGCCCTTCGAGAAAACGATCATTTATATATTTTCTAATTCGTTTTCAAATATATATATATATATATAAATATCACAATGATCACCTCCCACACATACATACTAATAATGATATAGAAAAACAATATTTTTGTCACCGTTAACGACTTAACGTGCTTATGAAAAAAGCCAAGTTAGACATGCAAATATAAGGTGAACATCAATCGAATGTCTAGTTCCATTATCTTTTTCACATCTTGAACTCGATATTTTGTTCCATTGAAGATTGCATTTGCATACAACGTACACAAGTGTTACAGTGTTGTATACATTTCAGTATTTTCATCTTATATTTGCATATCTAACAAGAAAGGTTTGAAATGATAAAAAGAAAATAACAATTATTTGATATTTTACACTGCATTGTACATCAAAAAGATTTATTTGTCCCTTCGGCAACAACCAGCAAAAGAAAAATATTTGAAAGGAAATTCTTAGTTCGAACTCAAATAAAACATGAGAAGGAAAAGTAACCATACAAAATGGATAAGCTAAAGCTATATAAGACTCTTTTGTATCTTTATAGGGGGAAGGAAAAGTGGAGACTATTATCTAAGTACACATTTCGAATGAAGTGAAACTTCTCAAGCAGCCATAAGAACGATGCCCTTTCCCCTTCTGCTATGCTTTTCTACCGTAAAATTCTGAACATGACACAGATGGGAGGAGATGACATTTAGAGAAACTTTTGTACGGACTCCTAGAAATCAGAGGATCAGTTCATTTTGAGTTGGATTTGGCGATGGACTTGCACGAGGAACTCCACATATGATGGGCCGCTTGCTGTCCTATCCTCTACCATATACGAGAGAAACAACATTCCTGAATAGTACCAAAAATCAGAACAACAAATCAGCATCTACAAATTTTTATGAAATCAGCAATACCAAGCATGTTCATGAATTCCAAATATATATTGTTTATGTAACTCCTTATGCATGAACAAGGTCTTTTCCATAGAGATTAGATAATTCTATATGTGGAATATGTCAGGTGGTTAAGACAAGACCACGAAACTAGACATTGGTACTATCTGCAGACAGGAGCTATGCTGTTACTATTAGTGTAAGACTGATCATTTCACAAGCAGGAAAAGATAAATAACATGTAGCCTCTGTAGTTAGTGCTAAGAGTCTTTGAATTACTCACCTGATGAATCTCCCTTCTTGCACAATTTTATTCTGTGTAGATAAACCATAAAGACGGAAGTATTAGTTGAAAAATATCCAGTAAGGAGACAAAAAGACGCATAGTGAGAATTTTGCTAGATACCTTAAGTAAGAACATCTTTGCCTCCTTATTTCATTCACCGCATCATTAAACTTCTTTGATAACTGATTATCATACTGCTGCAGCACATACTGTAATGAAAAGTTATCATTTCTTAGAAGGCTTCTAAAATACCAGAAAATATATTTCTTCTTTCATGGTTTCGATAATATGATAGGTAAATATGATGAGACGATCACAAAAGTCACAACTGGATCATGCAATAAAATAGTATAAATGCCAGATTTTGTTGCTACTTAATCATCCTACAATTGCATGAGTATTACCTGGTTAGGAATTTCAGCAGCTGAAGGAACAGCAAAAAGTTTCTGCAGGATATCGGAGTCCACAGATTCGCCAACATATAGTAGACCATCTTCACCATTCTCAAGAAAATAGACTCCCTCATTGCTAATGTGTTCACTTGACAATGGGATTGGAGGAGGAAGGACCTCTCCTTCATTGTCCTGATAAATTAGAAAGCAAGAATAATCAAAACTTTTACAAGCTGCATATATATTATGTCTTCAGAGAGATATGTTAAAGAAAAGTAGCCCAATCATACCTTCACATCAAGGTCATGCACAGAAATCATCCTGGGATAAACCAATGGGATTGCCAACGGAGTAGAAAGGCAAGACACATAGTTGATCCAGAATGATCGATCATCAACTCTCCCATCCGTTCTTAAACCCACACTTTTGGTCAATGCTGAAGGAAGACCCATGTAAAAAGGAAATAACATCAAATCAAAATTTTCTTGTCTATTACTCCTGTCCTAAGAAGCTATATGATCCTGAAAAGCCTATGCGATATGTTGCATTTCACACTCAGCAGATATAAAAGAAAGAAAAAGAGATAGCTGAGTAAGACAATCAGTACTTGTAATTCACACAGAATGACAGCACATATTTCCATACATCTAAAGAAGTTAAGGTATGTAACTTACTTGGTATGGTAGGTACCAAATATACTACAAGATCTTACCGCAGCTACATATAACTACCGCAGAAAACGAAAACAACCGTCACTTAATATCTCTTAAACGGTAGCACACATAGCAGGTGCATACACAATATATGATCACTTCTAATTCAAGAGAAGGGAAGTAAAGCAATTGCACACAAGAGAACCTGAAGTTGTATGAAGTTGTATAAAACTAACTAGGATAAAAGTAACTAGGAAATACCAAGAGTATATAATGGAAAAAGCTTGAGCGCCTCAGGAAGAATAAGTTGTCCAGTTGACGTCACTGTAGCACAAAATTTACGGTAGGCATAGAGTGCATTGATGCAACTATTAGTTGCTTGCTCCTTTACCAATGGAAGTGCCTTTGAAGGAATTTCATTTGCCGCTGCATAAATGATAACAAAACAGATATTGTTACATAATCATAACACCGATAACAGTATAATCAGTACCGAAAACAGTGACCTACCTTGTTTCAGCATACAAGCAAACTGAGAATCTAGGTCAGCTGCGCGAAACAAATTACTGAGCATGTTCGTACAAGAAAGTGATAATGTGGTAACCCTGATTCTTCTTTCTCCATATATGGTAGTATACAGAAGGGCGCACTGTAAAAACACAGAACAAACATAGAATAACATCATTTGAAATGTAACAGACTACCAACCTTTTTCCGTAAGTACAAGAATACAAAAAATACCTGGAAAGCACATTCAGCTCCATCTTGTAGTTTGTCATCATGCTTTAACGTCACCATTATAGCTTTGTCACAGTCAATCTGCATGGGCAATCAAGAGTAAACGGAGTATATACCATAGTGCATCTCCTTGTAAACTTGTAGAAAAAACACTATGTATTTTCCTATTTACAAACATTGTGTTAACTTAAACAGCATAGCACTTGAATCTTATCTTTCCATAATTCCAGACTCAAGAACTTTCATAAAGGATCACATACAGATATATTGTTTCATTGATAAGGACAGCCAATCATTAGACACATACAATACTATCTTAAACTAATTATAAAAAGATTAATAAGGATCCACTCACCGCTGGGAGATCAATGTCAGTTGGAATGCGTTTGCAGAAATTCCCTGAGTATTCTTGCACTTGAATACCCTACAATTATTGGAAACGGTGGTTTACAGAAAGCTAATTAAGATGGAGTTAACAGAGTAACACATGAAGCGCAAAAACATACCTGGCTGCATCTGACTCGCATGACAGCCTCAAAACCCTGTGGCCTAGTAATATTCCATTTAAGATCATTGTAAAGCTTGGGAGGATCTGAGAGAGCTGAGAAAGGGTAATAACAATACACCTGGAAAAACAAGTTTCCAACAGAAAGTTAAAGTTCGGCAAAACCTAGACATCAAGCAAGACTTTCACAGACTACTGTCAATTAGGATTGTAAAGTTGCCAGAAGAAAATAAGGCATGGGCTTCCATAGGAAAAATGCATTCAACTGACAGAGACGAGAAAGACTCTGTCAACACGAATTTGAATCTCTATTTTAACTGTGATAGTAACAACTTAACATTACGAAAAATAATATGAAATATGTAAAAGAAATTTTTTTAACAATCAGAAAGGATAAGGAATTTTGGAATCACCTGTCCGCCAGTAGTTCTTGGAATGACGGATATTGAAGCCATGTCAACATAGGCCTGAGTTGTGATAAATATATCTACACAGACCTGAGAGATTTATGGATGGCTTAGATAGGGAAGTAATATTGCCATTAAGAGAGAATGAAACACTGTAGATTCTTGATAAGCAGACGGTAACATTATAAGTTAAATTCAAACATATATCCTACGTATACCTGGTACTCAGCAAGTTCAATAGCCATGGTCTTTAGAATTTTGTCTGCTGGCTGTAGTAATTTATGGGCCTCCTGATATAAAAATTACAGGAATTCAATATTTTGCTATGAACATCTACATTCTCTGACACAGAAAAAAGCATGTTTACCTTTTCACCAGCAGACATGTTAGCTCTCCCTTCAGCCTCTCTAGAAGAAAGTGCTCCAACACCAACAGAACACAAATCTATGGGAAAGAGTGTAATCATATCAGCTTAAGTTATAGAGGTACTGAGCGGTAAGATGTATTATGAATAGTGAGCGTTGGTGCTTCTAATAAATATATGATTTTCAATGTGCATATATGGATTCTAAGTTATTGGATGCACATGCTTCAATATACCCTAATATATAAAATACCGAAACAGAGTGAGCATCATACTTGATTGAAATACCATAAGCTTCCCTCCTTTGCTCTTCATCGCCAAGAAAGCAGCCTACAGAAATGGAGTTGTAAGACATGAAATTCAAACACATGCGGAGAATAGTAGATATTAATATATTATCCTCAGCATTTTTTCCCCAAAAAAAGGAGCAATGGTCCATTAGAGATGATCTCAGCACAAAAAAAAAACATGGGTTCTTGGCAAAACCGCCCAATTAACCTGAAACGTCACTTCACTGATTGCTTTTAACCAGATTATAAACTTTATCTTTTTACGGCATGCAATGATGATTAAAATTTGACAAAGCTCAAATGCTTACTAAACAACGAATTCATGAAATCGAAGGCCCTCAAATTTCTACATTACTACCAATCAGGCATGCAGGTTAAGCATATGCATCTTCAGAAATTTCATACCTTAACTGCTGCACCAAAAGCAGATTCAGGAGTTTTACTTTCCTGAAACATCGTTGGGATACTATCCAGCAAAAGCTCCAGGTGTTGACGGCACTGAATTCCAACAAAATACAATAAATTCAAAAAATGGGAAAGAAATTACAATAACCAACTTTAAGAATAGCAGCCAGCATACACGACATATTGAAAAACAAGAATAAAACTAATCAGGGTGTGCCCATATAGAAAAAAATGGCCCAGAACTGACCTCAGATAGCTGAACAATGACATCTGTCTCTAAAGGTGTATAAACATCTTGCACATCAGGGACAATGAGCATCAATGGCTGCACGTAAGGGGGGAAAATCAATTTCACAGGCGGCAGTAATCAGCTGATTTCAGGAAGAGAAAGAGACAGCACCCATTCCGGATATCATAGCATCACAGGGATGCAGAGTACAACTCTTAATTGTAAATCACTTTATGACATTATAAGAGGATACATAAAACTAATTGTGCCATTGCAATAACTTTCAAGTAAAGCAACACATACATAATACATCTGCTGAGCCTGTAGCCCAGTGACCCAGAAAACGACCATTTAATTAGGATCCGGAGAGAACAAATCTCTCTTTTTTCCACTAAACAATAACAAAAGAAGGACTAGTGTAAAAGAATTACCTGCTGCAGTGCACGTTTCAAATTATAGAAGTGGATTGTTGAGTCAAATGTAGCAATTCCAACAAATGTCCTAGGACCTTCCTGCAAACGAAAATTATAAAATAAAAATTGATTAATGACTAAGGCAAAATAAAAATTATAAAATCACTGGTAACATAACCATACCCTAACGAAAGTTCACAGTCTCATTATAAATAAGGACACACACTAACAGATATGCAGCAGAAGCTACCTTCTAAATCATTAAGGTATGAACACCTTAGTATGCAAAAGGCCTACTAAGGTGTTACTTAATACGCCCAGATACAAGTAACAAATCAAATACAAATCATCACTAAAGAACCCCAGAACGTTTGAATAGTGTTGCTTAATTTTTGATACTACCACCAAAACAGTAAAAACTACATACACATGATAGCCAAATATTCAGAGCAGAGTAGATATCATTGACTGTTTTGAAATGTTGGAAATGGTGACACAACTTACAGGAAGGTCTGAAAGTACTTGCTGAATTGCATTGCAAGCAGCTGCAGTAGCACCTGTTTGTATAGCATTCATTGAGACATCAATGAGGAAAAAATATACTGCTGGCATTGGATCCCGTACCTAATGAAAAGAAAAAAATGATCTTAATTTCCATTCATTCCCAACATGTCTGATCATCAATTTCTCCCAAAAGGATGTTAATAACAATATGTTAGCTAGAAAGGTAATTTAGGTGGTGCTTTACTAGATCAACAATACAGTATGTACAGTAATTATCATTTTCCACCATAGTAATTTTTCGGGAAAACACAAAATCAGAGGACAGAACATTTCGTCTAATACAATGGTAGATTCCAGACCGCATGAAACAAATTGACAACTTTGGAAGCAAAACCAAACAATTTTACATTTTTAACTAGAAAATGTCACAAACTAACCATGTATTCTTTTGTAGCAACAAACTCAACAGTTCCCCTACACAGCTCAGGTCTTTCATCAACATCCCTACGCCTACCATCTGGACCCAGATTACAGTGATATTCACGGGGAGTCTCATCAGTGTATCCTGTGCAAAAGAAATTTGATGAGGAAACGGATCACAGAACCTTTCACATTATTTGACTCCCACAAGATAACTAAAATAACAATATATAAGTCTCTCTTAAACAAAATGATGTCGCCATCTTCCACAATCAGTTGAATCCAGATTGGAAGAAGAAATCTTACAATCCAGGAAGGTAAAGCACAAAACTGTTAGTCTATGCTTCTAACTTAGAATACTCAATTACGTTATTACTTGATACATACTATTGCAATTACGTAGCTATAACTTCAGATAATGTGGCTTGCATAAGTGAAAACAGTAATAACATTTACCACAGAAATTACAGATGAACTTCCTTCCCTGGTCAATGAACTTCATGAAAGGATTTATGTAACCCTTACAGCGTGAACATCGTACAGGTCCACCCTCACCAAAGTCCACAACCTGCACCATAGTACAGATCAATGTTACCAGGAATTGCTTCTTTTGAAGATGTAAATGAAACTTATATTCAAAACAACAATTTATATGCTTCACAAAGAACTCCAAAATACTGGTACATGCGATCAATAAGAGCAAGGGGTAATGCAAATACTAATAGGAATAGCATAGAAACTGAATGTCCACATGCTTTGTTTGGTGAGAGGAGGCTTACTTGTATAGGCTCTTCAGATGGATGAGAAAGCGCCAGCGGTTGAACCATCAACGCCAGTTGCATTCCAGATGTAGATAGAAGATCAACTGTACATGGGATCTATTACGAAAAATGGAAAAAGAAACGTATCAAGTTCCCAAGGAACACAATGGAAAAAATAATAAACTCACACACATCCCACCACTAGATAAGATATGCTTCATTGTTACCTGATTGATCGTGCACCTCATGTAACGCGGACTACAATTTCCGGTGTCTCGAACAACATAATCACTAGTAGCAGGCTTCAAAAATAGAAGAAAAAAATCAGGGGAAAGATATGGCAGTACGAAAAAACTCACATACAAAAGATATGACATCTCAGACAAATATTCAAATTGAAATTTGATCAGGTATACACACCGGGGGAGGATTAGCCTGATTACTCTGACGTGTTTCAAAGACTGTTGGGCTGGAGCTTGAACCTGGCCTTGGGATTTGATTAGGATCAATTCTTGCGGGTCCAGGAACAGAGGCACCAGGTTGGCCCATGGCAGTGGGTATGTTGGTCATCGACTGATTTGGCAAAGGCCCCATTCCATATCTTGGTGGTTGCATTGGGCCAGGAAAGCCTAGAGGTGGGGCAACCTACCAACATTCAAATTTGAAGACCATCAGAATCTGCCACACAAAGGAGATACATCAAGTGAAAATATTTTGCTTAACAATGAATCAGAGAGCCACAAGCTAAAGCACTACATAAGTTGTTTTTCAATTGATCACAAGACAGAATCCTAACAGTGCCAGTTCAAATCTTTCACGGTCAAAATGTTACAAAGATCGGTCAACTAGTATGGTTCCTGTGTGAATGAATATAAATACACATCTACATTAATTCACAGTAGCATATGTTTTCATCATTCGGTACAAAGAAATCAGAAAAGTTACATGACAAGAACATATATCATAACTGTATCTGCACATACCTGTGATGATGGTGGACCATAAGGCAAGCCTGATACCGCTGGTCTGCCATGAGGGGCTCCAGGAAAGGTTGCTGGTGGCGGCATTGAAGGGGGAGTAGACGGAGTTAATTGCGAATTTCCAGAACGAGGATGTGCACCTAGTGGCTGTGGAGGAGGCCGAGCGAAAGGTGCTGAAGGAGGCTGCGCATAGGGTGCCTGTGGAGTTGTAACAGCAGCACCGGGGAACTGGGTTCCCCTCGGAAATCCGCCTGAACCAGCCATTTGATGCCCATTACTGACTGGACCACCAAGCATGCCCGAGGGAGGCATAGACATGCCAGATCCGACAGGTGGAGGTGAACCAAATGCCATTGGGCGAGCTCCCGGAGGAGGACCTGCAGCTACATTACCTGATGGACCAAAAGCTGTAAAACCACTAGAAGAGGCAATAGGCTGCGCCACAGGTCCTCCAGGCATTGACGGTCTAGAGCCAAATGGTGGCTGACTAGGAGGCGGACCAGTGGGTCTGTTCAAGGGTGTGTTTGACTGAAATCCAGCTGGTTGTGATACGGGAGGGGGACCACCAGGTCTTGCCATCCCAGGAGGAGGTCCAGGCCGGGACATCGGTGAAGGCCCATGTTGCGGAACTCCATAAGAAGGGGATTGTTGAGGGAAAGGTTGTGGTGACTGACCAAACGGAGGGGGTGGTCTAGGACCTGAACCAGGCATCATCGGAGGTGGTCGATTCAAGCTCAAATTCTGCATATTGCCAGCTAAAGCATTTGAGTTCCCCGGGTAGAAATTTGGTGGCCTGGGATTCTGCTGGTTGTTGGGTCTAGGTGCCCCTGGAGGCACAGGAGCAACCATGCTTTGATACCAGATGGAGATCAAATCCTAAACCTTGCTCAACAATCTAGAGTTTCCAGTATGTCGCCAAAATCTACAGATCCAAATGATCAAATCAGCAATTGGAACAACTAAAGAAATTGAAGTAACAATTCACTGATACAAAACAACAATTATCCGACCAATCACAGAGACAAGGTGGCAGTAACAACACAAACTTAGTGTTGGAAGCAGTAAATACAATATAAGACAAGAACCAGCTTTTTTCTTCTTCTTTAGATCATACAGACCCCATCAAGGACCATAAACAAAGGGGACGAATCAAGAAAAGAAACTAATAAATCAGGAAACCAAAATCTGATCTCAAGGTATAAAAACAAAACAAAACAAAAAAAGCAAGAACCTCTCAAAAGGGTCTATCGAGAAAATGGCAATTTTCGCAATTTCAAATACACGTACCCGAAATTGAGCTAAACCTTGGAAATTCTTCAGATTTGGATGATAGCGATCCAAAAGTAATAATACAAAGCTCTCAGATCTAGGGACAGAGTGAGAAAGAGAGACACAGCGACGGCGGTTAACGGCGTCGTTGTGGTGTCACAGGGGATTCAGACGACAAATGAAAATATAACAATTGTTGGTCCGTAGAAGACAGAAAATTCAACAAAATAAAAGGGTACAAGTATAAAAAGGTGGAAATTACCGAATCAAAAGATTTTATTTTTTTAATTGTCCGTTTCAAAACACACGGGTCTGTAAAGTACAGTGTCTCTCTGTAGTAAAAACCAGGTTATAAACACATCTTCTTCTTCTGGTCACAGTTTGGTTCAGTCGACCAAAAAAAGTTTATGCTTATTTAATAACTATTTTTTAAAAACATGTTTCATATGAATTATTATTTCAATACAGTACATGAATTTGTCATATTTAGTTTTGTAATTGTAATTTATTATTTATAAAGTATTTATTTTGTTTTTTGTTTCCCGTTTACAACTTACACATGCAAATTATAAGATTCCATGGCCATTAGAATAAGCTATGTAGATAAATACATAAGAGTTATAATATTTTGGTTACAAGTAGATATCTTTCCACCTCAATGTACATTTGATAAAAAGCAACAGCGGATGATGTCAGGAAACCTCTGTACCTCTCATTCAATTTCCATAAAAATTATCCCAACTTTAGAAATTTTCTGAATCAAGCTCTCTCTCATTCAAAGGGATTGCCTCTGGAAATATAAGCATTTGGGTTTGCAGAAGGATATCCATTGTTTGCTTGATGAAACGTAAAAGTGTTTCCTTCAGTACTACTGAGGCATACAAAATCAATTTAGTTTCAAGAACCATACAGTCCATTCAAAGAACACTACAAATAGTAATGTACAATACCTGAAAGATTGGGACATATTCACATGTGATTGCTGCCCCATTAGTCCACCTATTTTTACCAAGACCCAACTCTTAGAATACAGTCCAACCAATAGAGCTGTTATATTACAGAAATTATCATCTCACCAGGGGAAATATTGGATGCAAGAGCTGGAGAGTTTGGGGATAAAGGGGCTGTATGAAAAGGTGACTGAGAGGTCATCAGTCCAATGGAACCTGCAGCTGGACTTGAAGTATCTGCATACCCTATTGGAGCTGACACGTGAGGTAAGCCTCCTCCTTGCACATATCCCATAGAAGGAAACTGTAAAAGATAATATTAAAGAGAAAGGAGCTGAGTATTTACATTTTCATCAAATCTAGTAACAGAAATTTAACTCTAGATTTCTTACTTGTTGTATTTGGTTTGGAGCTGTGTCATCATAGCTAAGATCAAAGGGATTTGCTGCTTTTGCTGTATATGGTAAGGCTCCCACAGCCTGCCAAGAATAGGATATAAGCATATATAAAACCAGATGTTGTAACTATCAAACCGAACTAATAGGTCAATGGAAACTATACCATAGGATATTGATAATATTGCATGCCATATCCCATGCTATGATGTTGACCATGAGCTTGCTGTGGGGCAAAGGAGAAGCCTCCAGTGAAAAGGTCCTGCCAATAGTTAGATTCTTATGATCGGAGATTCCCAGAGGTGTGTCCAAATTTCTCTTACAAAAGAAAGGTTTGTTACCTCAGGAAGCGCCTCTCTTACGCTAGAGTGTGTCTCATCTTGATATTGTTGCTCATATCCACCGCCATGAGCATAATTTGTGATAGCCAGTGTTGATTGTTCGGTAGTGCTATCTGATTGTTCCTTAGGTGATATAGATCCAACATGTGTCAGCAAAACGTTAGCACGTGAAGAAAAAAGATTAGTTTTCTGGAAAAAAATTGATTCTATTTAAAACTCTGTTTATGATCCGGTTTGCCTTCATTCAACCAGTCTAGTGATTTTGGAAAACTTTGAAAAATTTACCGCAGACACCAACCTGGTTATTTGTAGCTACACTTGGTGTAGCCGTCTCTTTTGTAACCAAGTTATCAGCAGCAACTGGAAACAGTGGACTTGGAGAAGCAGCATGAGCATGCGCAATTGTAGGTGATGCGACAAAAGAGGTAACACTGTCTGGTGTTATTGGCATTGTCTGTATCCCAAAGTTCGCTGCAGGATAATTGTCTACAGAAACAGTAGAGGAAATATCACTAGTGCTACATTGTTCAGATTTGTTTGTTCCAGGGACAACAGAAGGAACAGAGAGTCCAAACAACAAAGCCTCCAAAGAATTAGGAGCTGGCCCTTCAGTGGTCTTAAGAGATGCAGATGGTTCTGAAACTGGTTCATCATCGATTAAACTTCTAGGACTCTCCATTTTCTCTGTCATCTGCAATAATGCAACTTGTTAACTGTATAGATAAAGTGCATAAAACACAACGAAATACAAAACCTGAGAAACAGATATAATAGTAGATTACCTGATTATTCACCGGATCCTTCTTTTTTTCAATTTTTGCAACATTGCTTACGCGCAACCGAGGAGCACTGTCCCCTAAGAGTTCGCTGGTATGTCGTACAATGGGAAATCGTGGCATGTCTTTGTTACTTGAGAGGTCAAGAGATTTGGAGCTTCCTCTTGACTCCTTACGTGCATCATATCTCTTAACACTTCCATCATCTCTAAACCTATCATCAACAATCTCAAAGCGAATAGGACTCTTTGGTAAACCTCTAGATCTTGGATTATGCGTAGCATGTTGTTGTCTGTGGTTCTTGTCATCAAAATAAAACTTGAGAGATTCACTGCCACTTCTCCCAACAGCACTAGATCTTTCAGTTTCAGATTTATCCACAGAGTGTAAACTTCTTGATCCAAGAGAATTTGCACTGGCCTTCTTGCTTTCCCTGTAATCTTCTACGACAGCCTGAAAGGAAACACCACAAATTTGCAAGAAAAAAAGAAGAAACTAGAAAAATGTGTTAAGACTAAAGAGGAACATCCTCAACAATGTAACATAGAATAATGTCCCAAAAATTAGTTGGCACCCTTAGCTTCAGGATTGTAATGACGTAAGAATGTAAAGCAGTTTACCGATTTCTGGCGTGAGTCATTACTCTCACTACAGTATCTTTTGTCAACATAAACATTCCTGATGAAATCTCGGAGCTTGAAAATATTACTGAAAAAGAAGCAAGAAAAATTTGAGGTTAAATTTAGTTTTGCTACTTTTAGTGTTAACTCTACAGAGATTAATAAATGTCCAAGAACCTGCCATCGGGGTAACCATCACGGTGCGTATCCCATTCTTTAAAATAAATTTGTCTGGCTCGCTGCAAAGAAAAAGCAAAGGGTTAACACAGAAACTGGGGATGATTAACACAAAATGAGCAGTTCAATTATCAAACCTCGTTTCCTCCTGCACGAAGTGCACCAACTTCATCTGCTGTGAACTTGGCCATTGATACAGATTTCACACGATGAGTAAATTCTCGACTGGACATACACAAAAAGAAAAGGATCCTTACACAAAATGAATTTGGATCAACACTTTCAAGCTCCAGGCTTGTCCTTGGATTGATAGAGGAATCAAGAGCAAAAGACTTACTGGATTCCACTGCAATTTGTGCAGACAAAAGTCCAGAATGTTGAACAGACATATTGTGGACCCTGCAAGATTCAGATGTTGATATATAGAACAGAACTACAATGAGCCTTATTTATTTTTGAGCTATTCAAAAAAGACTGCTTGAAGATGATCATTGGCCAACAAACTAATGCATTCAGCTAAAAATATCGTACCAGACTATTGCAATTAATGCACCTCCGGTTCTCGGGAAGCTTTAATAAACTCCGGACAGCCTTTTCGATTCGTTCGTCTTCCTTAATTCTGCTCCCCATTCTTGGAGAAATGCCTCCCTCAGCAAGAAAATTCAATATCTCAAATGAGAAATCCGATCAAAGTGCCATCATTACCTGAGAAAACTGAGCATTATCTTAATTCTTAAGCCAACATCATTGAGGTTATTCTAAGGACTCATATAAAACGCGAGAGAAACATGGTAAATTTCAAGCTTGAAAAGAAACAAAAGAGAGAAGAGAAAAACCTTGGAGAAAAGAAGAAGAAGAGGAAACAGCCGAAAAAAAGAATGGAGGAGGAAAGAAGAGAAAGAAGCTCTCTCAGGCTTGTCCAGAGAGATGACAAAAAAAAAAAAAATAGATGGATGAGGCCAGCAAAGGAATGAGACATCATCCGACAAAACTGCTACCTGAAAGATTTCCCGCCGTTGAAATTTCTCCCACCACCTTTCCTTCTCTCATTTTAGTTAAGCTTCTTTCATTTCATCCCAAAAAATTTTACAAGTTTTGACAAAAAAAAAAAAAAAACAAATACCATTTTCGAACGAGTATTGACAAATGCGAGTTGTGTAGCTATTTCTTGTATGAACTATATAAAGACTAAAATGGATGGCAAGTGTTGCAATTTGGCCTTGTTTCCATATTTTTCCAAACATTTGATCTTAACTAAAAATGTAAGAGAAAGCAGAGAAAGAGAGATGTAGAAGAAGAGAACCGCAAAATACTTGCAGCAGAAGAATCATTTTGCTCAAACTAAATCTCTCTACCAAAAGAAGCTAATAAACCAAATTACTTACAATCTCCTCTTTCTTTTTTTTTTTTTTTCTTTCCTTTTTTTTTTTGTTTTTTTTTTCTGTTTAACCATCTCCTCATTTTTGTCTCTCTTAACTACTAAGAACGTTCCCAGCCCATGGGTACATGAGATCAAGTTTCCGAGTCCCAGTTCGGTGTTATTGCTGCATCAAAATATAGCTTACTTAAAGCGGAGGGAGGCAAATTTCTGTACAGTAGAGCTCATCTGGGTCGTATTTAATTTGTGTCAAGAGCAACTCGTGACGAATGACGAATCCCTCTCTCTCTCTCTCTCCTTTTGCTCAAGAGGTGACAAAACCCAGACTAACAGAGGTGGTATCTATCAACTCATCCTTCGCTTGAGCTTTCTAACCCATTGTTGCTTAGGTCCACAGAAGCAGCTTTAACTGCCTCTGCACACATGAGAGCCGCTGCAGCTTTCTGGATCGCTAGATCTGCTTTGTATCGCAAATTCTCTGCTCTTTCTCGCTTGAGTTTTGCCATAGCATATGCACGCCTTGCAGCAGCAGCTGCATCTCGCAGTTTGTACTCATCAATGTCTGTATTATTCTGTAATTCTTCCACATCAAGACGCTGAGATCCGTTGGAGTAACAGAGATGATTGGAACTGGGCCATTCAGAATAGCCTGCATCCCATCGTTCACTAGTGTTCCTCTTCCCATTGGTTCTTTGCAACTTGTTTTGGTGATTCCTATGATATCCATTTCCACTGCTCGAGAAATATCCCATGCCTAGGTCACGGGGAGAATATGTTCCCGGAAATACAGGATGCATAGGAAATTCATTCAAGTGCTCATAGCTTTGATTTGAATATATACATCTCTCATCTCTAGCGGCAAAACCAACAGATCTTCTTCCTGCTAGAGAAATGGATAAGTTGGATTAAACACAGACTTCATATATATAAATCAGAATCAATAGAGGATTTATAGAAACTCAAGAAGGTAAAAGTGAGTTACCGGACGAATTATAGACATCATAATCTCCCAAAGCAGAACTATGCTGGGCATAAACCGAGAGTTTCTTCTGTGACCTGTGTTTTGTTCCCCTGTGTTTGACTTCCAAACCTCGAGGCTTAAAACAGAAAGCAAACATCGCTGGCTTCTCAATAGGTGACTGTTTCTTCTGTGATCCACAGGTATTTGGTGTGTTTGCTGTGCTCATAGCCAACTCCCAGTCTTTGAGCTCTCGTTGGTATTTTTCCCACAGAGGTGGCTGAATTGCAGGGGTAGAAAAACAAGTGTTTATGTTAGACACAATTAAAAATATACTGCAGCAGCGTAACTATAATTTTTGGACTTTCAGACTTCCTCGAGCAAAGCAAACTACACTGTAGCTACAAACAGACACACTTTTTCCCCTAGTAGACGTATCATTTTCCCATATAACACCCAATGAATTATAAAATATCCTGAAAAGCACACTACGTACTTAAGACATAGCCATGCAGATCTTTAAATCTCAAGTCAAACATGAAAGAAAAGACAATCAAATAAATAAATAAAGGTAAGAAGGAATCAGAGATTATACCTGAAGATGCCTGATTAATGGCATTCCCTTTCTCTGCCTCTTTGTTCTCCAAAACTCATATATTGTTTCCATTGCTTCCAAGGATCCAACTCCAGCCAATAATTCTTGAATTTCATCTAAGGTAAAGTGATCACGCTGCTTTACATATGAAGCCTTCTCAAACATGTCCATAGCCTTCTCAAACATGTCCTCAGTGATATCACAAGAGCCACTATTCTCAGCTTCCGAACATTCACGAATTCTCAAAAGGCACTGCTCATCATCGCTGTCCATGTCATACAAAACACGTGAAGGGTCTAATGCCATCTCAATATCAGTTTCAGTCTGCCGAAAATATTTAGAAGAACTGCGAATGAATTCAGTCTCTGTTCCATTGAAATTGTCCTTTTCTATCATGCGGATGCCAGGAATAGGAATGTTTCTAACTAAAGCAGCCCGACTATTTCTATTGTAGCACTCTTCATGCATCTCTTTAAAAAGAGACCACTGGCCCCTATCAGGGAACTCCAAGATCCAATCCTTTCCACCTTTCCACATCATAGCATGAGTAAACCTGTTCACCGACCCAGGTTGCAGAAACTGATGTGCCCTGTGTGAGTATTTCGTTGTTCCAGACATTTTCACTGAAAGTCTCCATTCATTATTATCAAAAGGTTCCAGGAAAATCTGAGCTCCATATTCTCTCCAGCCTCTGTCACCAAGAGTGACTAAAACATTGGCATCACAGAAACTAGACTCCAAATCTTTCTGAATACCTCTGGAAATATCAGCAGCAGACCTTCTAATTCTTTTGTTTGGAAGCCCCTTGTGCAGGGAACCTTTACTTCTAGAATCAGAACCCCCAGAAGGCAATGAATAAGACACTTGGGTACGTCGCTTCTTAGGTCCATTTGCCAAATTAGTGTGTAGAAAGTCTCCCTTTGAATCCGACCAGCCATGTGAGAGATGGCCATTTAGAGAACTTTTACTTCGTTGCCACATACTTCTTGGGGCAGTGGCCTTGGGACTTGAGATGCTACCTTGAATATTCAAGGCCACATTACTTGACTGCGGAGTACCATTCTCACAGTGATCAGATATCGGAACTTGAATACAAATTCCATTCACCGGAACGTTAGACCTGGTTTCATGCTTATGTCTGACAACAGAAGAAGAATCAGACCCCAGCAACTGTCTTTGAGATGGAGTATGAAGGTCCTTTAACTCTTGCGCTTCTTGCCCTCTGGGAGAAGTGATAACTGCTTCATCGTTTGGGCCTTTACTATTGAGAGAAGGTTCAGAATGTTCATTTGTACAATCTGCCATATCACAACCTCCATCTGTTACCAAATTGCAATTGGATCTCAGGAAGTCTGCTGAATCATGACCCAGTTCTCTTATCATGTTCAGGTGTAAATTGAGTAAGAGTGTAGGTGGCCGAGCAGTAAAAGGAAGTGCAAATGAAGACGTATATTTCTGCTTGTAGCTAACAGCTGTGGGGAAGGCTTTAGCAGATGACGATTCCCTAGAAACAAGGCCTGAGCTGATTCCATGCCTAGATCTCTTCTGCATGACCTGATGTTCAAGATATATAAAAACGAGTTGGTATGAGATTATAGAAATAAACAAAAGACCAACGAAGATGTACCAGAATAATGCAGTAAAGATTCATTTTACCTTCTGCAGGACCTTCATGTTATCATGTGTACACTCTGAAATTGGTACTTGCTTAACCAGCAAAGCATGCCTCCTGACATTCCGTTGCAAGTATGACCACTTTGAATGTTTCACTTCATGGAAACTGTAGAATAGAAAAGCAAGTTGCCTTTGGAAGCCTGGGATGCAAGAAACTTGGAGACCAATTGAGAAAACTGGCAATTGGAAGCCAGCATCCGTTTCTTGTGCTCGTTGCTTACTAGAATGATCTACTACCATCAAGATACGGAAAATCAATTGAACAACTTCCATTAAGCTGCCTTCGAAAATAAGATACTGCAACCCATCTTGATTATCTAGGAATATCATTTCCAAACAAACCCTTGGCCACAAAGTCACAAGTGTACCATGACGAAGCAAAAGAACAACACGTGAGAGCCAGTCAACATCTGCCATAAGAAAGTACTTCATCAAGGAAACAACCTGTTGGCTGAGGGACAACTCAAATTGCTCTGTGTCATTCCACGGACAATAAAGCTCCAGATCCTCAGAATCTTCAATAGGCAAAAACTCTATATCAGGATCCGGAATTGTTAATACATGAAGCTGCTTCAAAACCTCAACATTATTCTCAGCTGACCCCTTGTAGATTCCTTTTTTTGCTGTGTGAAGTCGTCTCCTACAGTAGACAATAGGAAATATGCTACCATTACGAAAACCAGAGCTTTCCAACTCGTTCCTACTAGGTCCAGGTGATCCACATGATGCAAGAGAACTAGCAGATCTATCTGTATAATGTCCTGCAGCATCTTTAACAACATCCCCATCCGTTTTCACAGTCGTATTAACTGTCATTACTTCTGATTTTTTCAGTTTTTGTACAGCCTTAAGAGTGGAAGATTTGTCCCGATGCCGAGATCGAGTTAACCATGTGATAATTGGTTCTGATTCCATGCAACTATCATCTTCTAGATTTCCCTTCTGCTTCTCCTCTTCTTTACTGGATATATCATTTCCTTTTATTTTCAGAGTAGACTTGGACCCTGAACCACGCCTTTTCCGTTGATTTTTTTCAGGAACTTCAGTAGGGAACAACAAAATTTTGAATCTTTCACCTTGTAAATTGATCCACTCCTCATCACGATCATCATATTTTACATGATGCAGGTTCTTGTCTCCATCGTAACCATCCACAAACCCATGATACCAACTCTCATCCAAAGGCCAGAAAACTTTTATCTTTTTGTTTAACAACCAGTGTGAATCAACATCAGAAAACAATATTTCATAAAAGTGGCGTCTTTTCCGAACTTTACCCTTCCCATCATGCTTTCTTCTTGGTCGCAACATTCTATCATCAGTGTCATCTGAGATACATGTAGAACTAAGCATCTCAGACCGAGGAACTGAAGTTTTACCAGAAGTTAATGGATGCATACTGGCAGATGGTGAACCAGGAGTAACAGAATTTGAAGGAAACTGGGTGCAGTTTGGATCAAACCGCGAAGACAGCATTCTTGCTGCATTGGCTTCAAGATTCTCCTCATCATCTTCTCGTGATACCTTGGATATTCTGCCAGAAGTATCACCTGAAGAGGACTTGACCTCTTTTCCCACACGTTGGTTTGATGTTGAGGACTTCCTTTTTCTGCTATTACTATTTTTTTGTTTAACAACAACCAGCTGGTCATCTTTCACTGGAGACTGATTAGAATGCCCATTTTCCAACTGCAACTGAACTGCTGAATTAGATTCTTTGATTTCTTTCTCAAAATCTTTCTCTTCTACTTTAGAGAGTTGATCCTGAACACTAGATTCTTCAACAGTTTCCTTAGGGATAATATCAACCAGCTCCTCTTGACTATCAGAATCCCCTGGAGACTTCTGTACTAGGCCATTCTCAAACCTACTCCTCCCAACAAAATCTCTCCTGCGTCTAGGAACATAAACCGTACTACCTGCCAAACCAACAGAAATCCCTTGGAGTCCACTAGTGTCACACAATTTCTCGTCCAAAGCCACCTTGGAGTCCTCCAAATTGTGCAAGATGGTGGTGCCATTGCAGGCCTTATCCAGAATGTTGTCGTTTTTGCTATCGAGTTTCTTAAAGCTACTTAGAGAAACAACTTTCCTGCTCTTCTTGTCCTGCTTCAACAGATCAGCATCATCCCCAGACCTATTTTTCCTTTTAAAGCTCTTATTCACTGAATCCTTGGAAATGCTAGACTTATAGAGCGTCTTAAGATCTAAGGACCTCGATTTCTTCGAAATTCCCACTCCATTAGAGTTACCTAGTCTATTTTCCATGAAAGCCACCTCGAACCAAAACCCAGAATCAAAAGCCACCAGGTCTCAAATTCCATCATACACGCAAGGAAACATTTTTCAGATCTGTGACACCAAAACCAAACCCAGAATCACAAAAAGTACCCAGAATATGATAAAAGAAGAACACACAAGTTACCAAAAAAAAAAGAAAAAAAACAGATCAAACCCCACTCCAGGAAGGAAAAAAAAAAACTTATGCATTAAAATCCACACAATTTGTTTTCAGCAATCAAGCAAATTTTAACTGCAAAAAAAAACATAAAAGAGAGAAATTTGCATGCCTACCTGCATCACTTTATGTGACGAAATCGAGTCTCTTAAAGGACCTTTATCGTCTCCACAATCACAAAATCAAAATTAGGGTTTCGGTAAATCGGACTGCGAATCGGATCCCTGAATCAAACAATCGAAAATTCCCACAAGTATTCGTTCAATTCAGCGGAAAATTAAAAAAGCAAAAAAATTGCTTCTTTTTTTTTTTTAACCGGGAGAAACGGGAGAGCTAGGGTTTCGTCTGGTTTCGCGAGAGTAAGGTTTTTTCAGTTATAAAGAAAACATATTCCAAATAAAATTCGGATGACGTGTACCGTCTGATCTCGACGCGCTACTAATTCTACGGTTCAGATTTATTCTCGAAATAAGCACTATATTTTTAACTCTTCAACAGAAAATATACAATGGACGTTTCAGATCCTCGGCTGCGAAATAAATATTTTAGACGGTCAGGATTTAAAGGCGAAGATTATTTATATCTCTCACGTGTGATAGTAACCTACCACAATCTTGTGTCCACCTAGCCAACAATTGTTAGAGACATCATTCAACTTAACAACTATTATTACTAGAGGATGATTTTAAGTATTTAAAACATACACTAGTACTCTACCAGTTAGTTATTCATACAATTATATATTTAAAAAAATAGTTAGCTTTTGCTTTTTTATTTGTATATTATCTACACTAACTTTTTGGTAAGTTTTTGTTTAAACTAGACTTCATTTAAGTAGATAAATTATTAGTGTTTGCGAGAGTATAATAAAAAAAAAATGAAGTGATACGAGTGTAAATACAGAAAATTTTGTGGTTTTTATCCGTTTTTATTTATTTTGATTTTGTTATTTTTGACAAAATATAGTTAGCAAAAAAGAGTTTAATTCCTAATCGATTTGTATATCAATGTACCGTTGAAATCAAATTTTAATAATAATTTTAAATTAGGCATTTGGGTGTATAAAATTACGTTTTTCATCCATGATAACGTATAAAGGTAATAAGAACATTAATGAACAATTATAGAGGTAAAAAGATAAATACAAATTCTATAAAAGCTTAGAGATTTTGTTTTCTATTAAGGAATCCGTTAATTTATAAACTAATTTTGGCGCGAATATCTATATTAACATTTTTGCAGCAACTAATGAAAAAACCCTTGCTTTGCTCACTTATTTACAAGGTTCTGCCATTGCTATTAATATTTTTTTTTAAATAGTTTAAAAATCAATAATGAAAACAAGAAAATCTCCTTAAAATTTTGCAAAATACTTAAGAAAATCTTCAAGTTAAAGAAATATTTATTATTGCGAAAAAATATTAAGAAAATCTCTATTAATTATTTCGAAAATAGCTAAAACAATTTTCAAATTTAATACATACTTATTATCTTAATAAAAATTTCCAAAAATAACTGATGTAAAATTCAAAAATATGAGGCAAACTTCTCAAATTAAAGTCAGTCGATTTTATAAATATTAAATAGGCCACGATTATTATTATTTTTTGTGGGATACACATATGATTATTTAATAATAATAATATAATATTATAAATCTCAATAACAATAAATCTGCAAAAAAATAATATAAATATATAATAATTACTATAAGAAACAATTTGAAACTTCCCACCAAAAAAAAAGAAAAAATTTGAAACTTTTAATTTTCTCTATATTTTGGTAACTACCATAACTACTAGGTTTTAATACAATAAAAAATAGATCAAAACATTATTAAAATTATTTTCTAAATTTACCTTTTTCAATTTATTATGTGCAGAATTTCTTTGACGAAATATGTGGAAAGTGAAAACCGAACCATTGAAATTTATGCATTATTTTGGGTAAAAAATATGTTAAAAATAAATCAAAATTACAAAACATCAATATTTTATGTTTCTCCATTTATATTTAGAAGATAAGAAAATACAAATCCTGTATGCAATATTTTGTTAATTTTTATTATTTAAAATATTTAACTTTCCCACACCATTTACCTATATATATAACCAAATATCTGCATGTAAGCTTAGAATATCCATTTTTGTTTTTCAGTTTTGATAGCATTTTTTTTCTTTTGCTTATTGAAGTAAAATCAACACGGAAAGATGGGAAATATGTAATTTTTTTTTGGCGATTATATGAAATGATGGGGTATAAGACGGGAAATACTGTAATATGCTTTCAACAAGTTATATGACGGGTCGGGTTGTAAGATGGAACGAGTTTGACTTAATATTACAAAAAATAGAATATTATTAATCTCACAGTTCAATACGGGTCATTTTACTACTTTTTTAACCAACGCTAATATAAAACATATATAATTAAACTAATTTAGTAAAGATTGATATTATGCAATCTTAACAATTATTAAATAAACTCTAACATCTATAAATTTAAAAAAAAAAGTTTGTCTCGCGGTATACCGCGGGTCAACATCTAGTTATATTGCATTTCAAAATTACCTTCTACTATTCTCAACCAATTAGCTTTTAATAAATTATAATTGTGAATTAAAAAAATGGACAATTTTCGTTTTACTTGGAAAATCAAATTGTGTGTTAATAAAAATAAAAGTGAAGAACGGTTCAAGATGCTAATCTAACTTCCGGTTTGATCCATAAGAGATAACATCCCTAATCGAGAGCGGTACCTGGTTGTCGTGTAGCCTAGTAGTAGCTCTAATTAAGGTCTGACGAGACACATCACCTCACCGAGCACATCCTTAAGAAACCCTAATCATCTCTCGCATTCGGATTGGAATCGCCTCCTGGAGCTTTCGACATTCTCGTGTTGTCTCTCAATTTCAATTACCTATTTTACGCTTCAATACATTTTTGTCGTTTCTGAGGGTCTGCAACCCTATCTATCTTCCATCGCTTTCAAATCGCCGTCCATCAGAGTATTCTTCTTGTTGGTTGGTTGGTCTCGTTTTTCAAGGATTTTGTATAAAAGATCAATCCTTTCGTAGATATTAGCGACGATTGATCATTTTTCTTCTTCTTCGTTCTCCTCCTTCTTCACCTTAACTTAATAGATTCATCTTTCGTTTCCGTTCCATTCGTCATTACTTTCAGCTGAAATTGGGAAATTTTGATTCTTGTTTTTATCTGAAAAACTCTGTCTTGTTATCGGAATCGGGGTTGTTTGAGTTTGATAGAGGAAAGAAAAAAAAGATGGTTGGTGGTGGAAACAGAAGAGATGAGGGATCGATGCCGATTCAGAACACCAACTTGTTTGCTGCTTTGGACACTAGGAAGAAGAAGAAGTCAGATAAGGCTGGTAAGAGCAAAGGTTCCTCTAAGTCCTCATATCCACACAAGGAGCCTGAGCCACAGGTCTTCTGGGCTCCTACGCCTCTCAAAGCAAAAGCTTGGGCTGATATCGACAGCGATGATGAAGATGACGACTATTACGCTACCACTGCTCCGCCTCAGTCCATGTGGAGCACTTCTGAAGCCTCCCATTCCGATGCTAAAGACGTTCACGTTGAGGTTACAAGTCAAAATTATCTCATTTCCTGTTTCATTATGTGATTTTGGATTTATCATCGTGATTATGCATTTGAAAGAAGATGGATTGCATTGTTGAATGTTCAAGTGGAATTGTTAAATTAGTTTAATTTGTCTCTGGCAATAAGCCTCTTTAGATTTCATATTCTTTCATTGCACTCTCGTTGAAGACTTAAGAGTTGAATGATTTGGCTTTCTTTTTCTTTTCTTGCAATTATATATCAGTGATTCTTTTCATTTATCCAATTGTATACCTTTGCTGTTATAGAAAGCTTTCTAGGCAATATAAGTTTGCAACTCTGGTTGTTTGTAAAATTGTCGTTGTATGCCTATCTGTTCATTGGTTTCTGATAGAGATGCATGTAAATTCAATGTCACAGGAGAGTGAAAGCGAAGAGGACATTCTCGATGAAGGAGATGATGATGATTTGGAGGAAGAACAAGAACAAGGAACAGAGATGCAAGTTCATCCAGAGGCAGAGCCTGAGGTGAAAAAGGCTCCTGAAGTTCATGCACCTCCTAAGGAGGCAGAGAGGCAACTTTCCAAGAAAGAGAGGAAAAAGAAGGAACTTGCTGAGCTAGAGGCTTTGTTAGCAGATTTTGGAGTTGCACCCAAAGATGAGAATGGTCAAGAAGACTCTCAAGGTACTCTACTGTATTCTCATTCATTATGTGGGATACCTCTCTACATTGACTTATCAGTGTCTTGAGAAAACTATGTTAGCTAATACTGATAGACGCATCTTCTCCCAAATATCTAACAGAGAAGCAAGGGAAGAGAGAAGTCAATGATGAGGGAGAGAAGAAGGAGAACACAACTGGAGAATCGAAGGCCTCAAAGAAGAAGAAAAAGAAGGAGAAACAGAAGGAGGCGAAAGAATCTCAAAATGAAGTGAAGAGTAACTCAGATGCTGCAAGTGAGTCTGCTGAGCAGGAGGAGGAGTCTTCTTCGATTGATGTCAAAGAACGGCTAAAGAAGTTTGCATCGATGAAGAAGAAGAAATCAAGCAAAGAGACGGATGGTGGTGGTGCAACAGCTGCTGCAAAGGAAGCAGCAGCGAGGAAGGCAAAGTTGGCCGCTGCAAAGAAGAAAGAAAAGAAAAACTACAATCAGCAACCGGTGAGGTGAAGAAATCAATCCACCCACCGTTGTGATATGAACATGTGGTTGACGGGTTTTGTTCATATGAGACTTGCCTTGAACAAATCTTTTGATGGGGAATGTGGTTGGCCCGTATTTTAGAATTATGACTTGGATCTTTTTAATCGTATCACAGTGAGACATGAAATGAAAAGGTTTCTATTTGAATTCTTCTCAGTTCTTCTCGGATATTTTTCTTTTCTCTCTGTTTTCATTAGATCCTTTAGGGACATGTATTGATTTGCTAATAATCCAGTTGATTAACTACGGATCCAAATTGACAAAATCAACTTTAACTTTGAAAATTTAATAATGTAATGTTAAAAGAAATAGGTGATATCGTTTTTTTTGTGTTTTTTTTGGGGTTCCAGTGGTGCTGCGTAAATATCGTATTTGGGCAACAAAAAAAGAAGAAGTTGGTATATTTTTTCTTTTAGACAATTCGCCGGCGCTGTTGCTCTGATCGAGAAATGTGGAGAAGAGTGGTCGGAAATGTCGCCGTCCGGCATCATTTACAGCGAGCTCTATCAAGTAAAGCCGGTGGAAGTGGAAAGAGCGGCAACGTTTCAGCTGCTGTGGATTCGATGCTTCTGCGTTCCCTTAAGGAACATTACCTTGAAGTTTCTAAGATGACCCCTCCTCCGGTTCGTTCCTCCCCTTGTCTGTGTTTCTCTCTACGCTTCGTCTTAGATACAACTGAAATTTATGTGTTGTTTACTTAAACCCTAGATACTGATTCGTGCCCTTAGGGTTTTTGGTGGGATTGGGAATTACAATCTATGACCGGATTTTTCATTGAATTTGCAGAAAGTGAGCCCTCCTTCACCGTTTGAGATTGTGAAAGGATCCCTTGAAGGAACTGGGGCTGTTCTGCAGAAATCTACTGGTAATGAAGAGATCAGTCTTTTCGTTATGCGGTTGGCTCATGGGGGTGATGATGAAGACGATGATGGGATCAATCAGTTGTTCCTCCATGTGGCTGTGTCCAAGCCAAATCAGGCTGATTCTTTGCATTTCCTTTGCGGTCTTTACCCTGATGCATTGGGTATCCACTCCGTTTCCATGAGACCAAAACTCGAGGCTTTGGAGATGTCTGATGATCCTGCTCAATACACTGGCCCTTCTTTTGAGTGAGTTTCCCTCTCTTTTAAACTTCTTTTTTTTAGTGAATTCCTCTCTTTAAATTTGAGAGTTTTGCTCATATTTGCTCACGTTTCCAATAATTCAGCTTATGATTTGATAACATATACATTGCCAGTGGCCATTTTAGGTGGTTTCATTTCTATCTTATGCTGTCTCCTCTTGTTACACTTACAACTGTCACTGTAGGAATAGGTGGTATTGAATAGGCTAACTAAGCTTATCGTCACTTACTGAACTTATCTCATACTTTCTGAAGGATAATTTCAAAAAACAACGTTCCTATATTGTACCATCTTTTTGGTCATTTTCTGATAGACATTGAGGAATGTGAGTTTAGAATGGAGTGGTGGTAGATGTGGCTGTGTAGTATCACTATTGACACAATCGGTTTGCTTTCTATTATTTATCCTCCAAAAGCAATGATTAGTGTTTGACCGGTTCTTCACATTCTTTTTCAATGCATATCTCAGTTGTAAAGAAGAGAGCTTGCATTTTGCATTCAATTTAGCTTTCTGTTTTTCTCCGTCCTGAATACAACACGGAACTAACTGTTTCTATTTCTTTAACAGAGAGCTCGATGAGAAGATGAGAGATGTATTCCATGCCTTCCTAGAAGAGCGAGGTGTGAACGAAAGTCTCTTCCCGTTCCTTCAGGCATGGCTCTATGTAAAAGATCACCGTAACCTACTGCGATGGTTCAAATCAGTTGGCACATTTGTTCATGAAAACCCATCTGCAGAAAACGCCTAGAAGACATTTTTCGGTGCTGGGATAAGTTTCTGTTAGTTGATACAGCTCAAATGTTTCAAGAACTGAATCACTTTTGCTTCTTCCAAACTTTAAGTATACATCCATGATATGATGTTTTTTTTTTGGTAGTATCCATGATATGATGTTATGTTAAGGATAGGTTCATTTTTATAGACTGTGTGAGCCTCCTTGCGAAAGGTATAGCTATCTATGCTTCATATTGCAAACTACCGATTCTAACACTGACTTTACAAAACCAATGAAGTCGATGTCGTAATTTAAAAATTAAAACCGTCGAAGTCATAACGTTTTTTGGTCCAGTATAAAAGTTTACACTAAGTTTATTTCAATTTTTGCGCAGTCCACAAGGGTAATTTAGCTTGCACAAGGTCTCGAGAGATCCCTGGCTCTCGTATAGAGGTGGTACTCGTGATAATTAAGAGAATATATAAAAACAAGTATTTGGAACACGCTCAAACTCAATCAACGATTCTCGAACTCTTCTACACACTCTTGAGGGTTCCAATTCACAACGGCAAAAAGCATTTACAGAAAGGGAACCTCGGCGTTTCTTTCTTCACCTTCTTTGCACCGAGTAGCAAACCCTATTGTGTAGGAACAACGCAAAACGGCTTACTTGTACCGTTTTCTCCAACATAGAGCAACCTCAGACATCTAGATAACATTGTTGGCCAAACCATTCTCAACTCTAAGTTCACTCCGTTGTTGTTGTTGCAGTTGCTGTTGTTGATGGTTTTCGTTTTCCCCAGAAGAGAGCGAGCTCAAGATCCCTTGGCTTGTCAAATCTGAGTTCTTCTCCCCAACTTCGCTTTTGCAAAGAGGGCAAGAGGCATTGATCTTCAGCCATTTGTCAACGCACTCTTTGTGGAAGAAATGTGAGCATGGAAGCTCTCTTAACTCCTCGTTATTCGCATATTTCGCCAGGCAAATGCAACAGACCTGCAAAAAAAGGTCTATATTCAGAAACTTATTGTATCTATGTGTTTGTACGTGTACAGTCAAAGTGTCAGCAAACTCACTGCGTCTTCTCCTGAAATTGTACGTTCCTTATCTGTTCCAGCCGCCACAACTCCACCTTCGCTAGTGCTTGAACCATTGTCATCGCCACTACTTCTGCTTTTCTTCAACTTAAATTTATGAGTTGGCAACGCATTTATCGACTCAGGTGTGGCACCTCGAGGCTGAGTTAAATCTTCTCTATATCCGAGAATTGAGATTATGCACGGCAAGCAGCAACATATAGTTGTGCAGAGGATGAAGGGCATCGCATAGCCAATACAGCTAAAGGTAAGAAACACTAAACATAACCTATAACATACAAGAGAACATAAATATGGGTCAGTTTTAACAATTATAGCCTGAGGGTTGAGTCAAAATTAGGCATAGCTAAGAGAATATCACCTGTACAAGTTAGGAGCCTCAGCAGCAGATGAATGTCCTCCAAATATCCATACATTACCTACCACAAACCACACCGCGAAGAAGCAATCCAGAGCCATTTTGAAGTATTCCACAATAACTTTAAGTCTGACCAAAATCAAAGACTTCAAATCAGTGACTCTGAGTAGCAATCATTGTCAGCACAAAGAAAGATGTCTGACAGTAGGGACCTCTAAAATCTCACTAAATTATAAAGAGACAAGCTTTGAGAAAACTTAATTCAAAATCCAAACATCCAGTTGAAACAGATTATCTAAGAACATGTGGATTTACCTGGCAGCACTAATGAACCCAGGATATCTACTACCACGTGAAGACGTGGTATTGGTCTGTCGACCATCTCCTTCAGATGTCCTGGATATGGAGAAGGCGAATGGCCCAGCTGCAACATTGAGATTAGGACGATGCTGGCCAGAATCCTGCTCAGAGGCCTGATTCGAGTGATAATATCTCCAGTACAAAAGTGGGAGTGTTGCGACGCATCCACAGGCATAACCCACAATCCAAGCGAACAACGGTGCACGAGGATGCTCATGTTTTGACAAAGACAAAACAACAATAGCTGCAATGATCTGACCAAGAGTGAGGAATAGTTCAATAGAAATCCATAAGCCAGAATTCAAAGGACTTCTTCTGCGACGGATGCTTCTGGGATTCGATCGCATAGATGAGGAAGAAGACACTGTAGCTGGCTGAGGAGCAGACATGGGAGGTATAATCGAGGGTCTCTCTTCCTCGTGTTGTAACGGTTCCAAAACGTTTGAGATTCTATCATGAGAAGAAGAGGATGATGATGCAATGGCGGCATTTCTTGGAATGTCAATGATGATGTGCTCATTTCGGTTAAGATTACTCTCTGATGATCGTTCCATGAATCTAGAAAAGGTATCAGCTTGATTTGTAATACGATGTTGTTGTTTCAGAAGAGAAACACCCATCTAGGTTTTGTCCAGTTTGCACATACCACACCATGGAACATAACCCTGAGATCCTCCTAAGAAATCCATAGAGAAGAAACAAACAAATTGAGAAAGCTTAAACCCTCCAATGACCTTAAAAACCAACCGCCAAAATCATGAATTTGTGTCTGTTGCAGGATTTAAAACATCAGAATCCGACTAAAGACAACAAAGAGCTCAATCATAAACTAAAGTAAGAGAGACAGCCCCAGATTAACCCATGAAATTAGGGCAAAAACAAAGAAAAATGAAAAGCAAGATCGTACATATCCCAAGATTTTTCAGAACAAAAGAAGCATAAAAGAAAAATGATAAAGCAAGAAACCTAATTCGCACCTGAATATAAAATATGAGAAGAGAATGAAGCAAATTAAGGAACAAACCTGCTTGAATGGTTGATTTGGCTTGTCCTTTCTGGTCGTAAGGTGAAATGAGAGAGCCACCGGAAGAAGAAAACCCAGAAACCAAGACAAGGAATTCTAATCGAGAAGAGTCAACTTTTTCAGCAATCGGAAAAATCCTTTTTGTTGTTTGTTGATCTTGTAGAGTTTTCTTCAAATGTATTTTGCCATTATTTTAGTTTTTCTTTTTTGGTTTTGTGTTCACCGATCAACCAAGGAGATAAAAAATATATTCATATTTATATTTATTTTCTCTGGATATAAAAAAGAATTCGAAGCCAAACCGCAATCACAAAAAAAAAAAAAAAAAAAAAAATTAAGTATAGATAAATACAGAATGATGATGATTCAGAATTTCAGAATCAGATAGTGATGCTTCTTTGTCTCCTTCCTTTCATTTCTTCTTTCCCAACAAGAAAGAAGAAACAAAAAAAAACGAAAAAAAGTAAAAGTAAAAATAAAAAAAGGATTGCGAAGATATTTTTTGCTTTTGGACTTTACCCCCCTGTATTTGGGCGCGCGTAAGCCATGACAGTTGTCAAAGATTACGATGGTTCGAGTACTAAAACCAAGTTCTAATTCCTGTTATTTGATTTTACTATTTATCATATCTCTGTAACCAACCAATATTGTCTAGTAACAGACAGTTGCTTTACAAGTAGGTGTTGAACATATTCAAGAACTCAAGCAAAGTTGTTTTACGAAAAGAATCTTCCATTCATATGAGACAACATACAATACGGAGATGTGTTATATACACATAAATATGATGAACGAATAACCCTTTACATTGTTTTACTTCTTCCACTGCGGAATCCGCTGCACCACAACCTAAACAAAACCCATTCATCTCAATGAGAAAGATTATAAAGACAGATAAATAAATAAAACCTCTTATTACGATCCCAAACATGACAAAAGTTTTGGGCACATTAGCTACAAACGCGTCTATCTATCTATATGGGTTACCTTTCCTGAGTTTTGTTTGTTCCCTACTATTGTTTGACATGCGAGTCTCCAAGATTCTGGCTTCTGCACAAAATAGTACCAATGCCTTCAGATTTAATAAACATCCAAAGTTCTTATTTTTTTCGAATTTGCATACCTAAGAAGAGTTGGGGCAAGTATACTTATTATTCACCATATCAGACAAACCATGTGTAATCACAACTTAACATGAAACAATGCTCAATATTTGTATTTGATTCAGCTTGTTCGAGTGCACATACCCAATCCAAAGCTCTTAAGTAAAATGAGAAAGTGAATCAAACAATAATATAGAGAGGAGCAACAGAATGACTAGCCTTTTTCAGATACCGGTTTTCGGTATCTGTTCTCTCGTTCAGAAGATCTCTGCCATCTAGTATCTGCACACATGAGAAGACAGACCAAATGTGTTTGTTTCCCTTTAAGTGTATAGCCCATCAAAAGACACCAAACACAAATCTCTCTCTTATCATCCACTTGTGATAACACAAAATTTATAATCATAATCAAGAAATATGATAAGAAGTCACTTGCCTCCACAATACAAGTTCCACAGCTTCCTCCACCTCCACAGTTCATCACTTTACCCTAATCATCACAAATTCCCCAAAGGCTCAAGCCATTAACATATTTCCCTCCAAACACCCCATAATCCAGAACTAGCTATTCGATTGGGTAGCAAATTGTTCCAGAAACGAGTTCATCCCATTTCAATGTATATCAAGATTGAGCAAATTTCTAGATGAAAATGGAGGGGTGTGTATACACTCACGTAAGCAGCATAGAGTTCGATTTTGTTGTCCTGCATAATACTTCTCATAAGCTTCTGACCACTCACAGCCTTGGCTTTATCCACCGGATACGACCCGTCGCTCCCCGGCTTCGGCTACAATCAGACGCCCAATAAAAAATAAAAATAAATCTCTCGTGAGTTTTAAAACGAACTGTATCAGAACTCAAATCGCACGGATAGTTACACCGAAGAACTCGAGCTCGATCAAAGGAGGCGTTGCTGCAGAAATCTCCTGCTGCGGAGATGGTGCTTGAGAAGAAGAAGAAGAAGAGCTGTTACAGGAGATAACGCGAGCGCTTCCACTTCCAGAAAATTTTCGATGCTGCTGAATTTGTACAGTAGAGAATGAGAAGCCGAGGTTGAAACCTAGTGAGGTCATTTCTCCCGGCTGATTCTTCCCGTTTTAGGTTCCGATCTCCGGCGAAGATCCCCGAAACTAGAGGGATAAAGTGCAAACCGCGAATTACGTGGACTTCCGTCTTCCAGATGTTATTATTAGGAGGCTTCTATCTTTCTTTCTTTTCGGCTAACCCGTTAAAAGCCCAATAAACTCTCTTTCTGTCAAAAGCCCACCAAACATGTCATGTGAATTTCACAAGTAAATTATTCTGAATAGAATGGCTTACGGTAATGGATGGCACTGGGAGGCTGGGAGCTGTATGAGAAATGAGGTGGGCAACAAGAGAAAGTAGAACAGTCAGAGACAGAAAAAGAGATGACCAAATTTTGCAATCATAAACTTTGTTCGCCACCTTATTGGTCACTTAATCAACGTTCGATATCATCGTTTAGTCGATTATTTTTCCAACTGTGGCATCCTTTTTTTTTTTACTTTTTCCAACTGGTAATTTTGACAGTTATCAAGATTATGTTTAGCAAGTAAACAAACGATTTATTAGTTAAACATTTAGGGTTACTACAGAAGGAAACTTATGTGAGAGGCCATCCTTATTCATTACTCTATTTTAATTAGTCTTAACCTATTGTTTAATATCTGATGAATGCTGATAATAAATAAAATAAAGCACACATGCAGCAATATAGACCAGAATCCTAAGCCAAAAAAAAAATCTAATTAAGGGTTTTGTGTAAAGAACAAGAAAGCAAAACACGTGCTCCCATAAGAAGACACAATTATGCTTCTCTATCAAACCCCCCACGGGAGACTAGTTAATATTTTTTAAAAAATCAGTTACTCTTCTTCAATAAAATATTTATAAAAAAAAACCATTTCATACATGTGATTTCTATCTGTATAAAGATTTTTAAAAAAGCCATTTCATATATGTACAAATTTAAAATTGTACATGTATTAAATGACATTTTCCAAATTTAGGAAACCAAGCGTTACACAATAAAGTGAACAAAAACAGAACGTCGCTCTCTCCTCTCCCTAACAGTAAACCCTAGCCTCCATTTAAGCTCTGTGGCTGGGAAGTCACTCCGGTGGTCGGCACTTCTTGTTGACGCCGTGAGTGGCTTCCCCTTTAGGAGTTGTTCTAGTTTTTTGGTTCAGCAGTCTATCTATCTCTTAGTGCTTGGTGGAAGAAAGCTTAATCGAGCAAAATGGTAGATTTTCACGGCGGGGATCGTTGGTGCCGTCAGTGGTTAGCTTCTCCAAAGAGAGTTGTTGGTTGGTGTCCGAGATCTCTAGATCTGTCGGGTGCTCTGTTTTTGTAAGAGGTTTGGTGTTTCACGAATCCTTGGCCATAGTCTCAGCCATTTTTGCTTTCGGTAAGCGGGTCTTTTGGCTGCTCTTCTATGCCGATTTGCTAGAGTCAGATGGCTTTCTTTTAGTTGGTTATGTATAGTGGTTGCTTAATTTGTTCCTTGGTAGTTTCGAGTTCAGCGGTAGTAGCCTTCATTTGGGAAGTCCTTTGTCTTGATTCAAGTGTTGATGGCTTGTGTTGGTGGTGTTGTTGGAGCGCTCATTTGAGCTGGATCTTGTATTTACAGAGAATGGGAGGATTCCGGATCAGTTTGATCGACGGGTTGGGCTCATTGGTTATACTCTTTGTCTATACTTGAGCTGGTTATGATTTTGTTGATGTTCATGTGCTTATCGTTGTGTCTAAGCCTCCAAGTTTCATGCTGTCTCCTCGTCTCAGCTGTGGATTTCCTTTGGATTCGTTTTCCTTCTAAAGAGAGGTTTCGTTTTGTTTGAATGTGATGATAGAAAATCTGAAGTTTGCCGAGTTCCCTCTTCTTGTTGTCGTTCTCTGTGGATGTTAGCTTTCTCGCTATTCGCCGATTTCGTTTATGTGATTGGTGGTTTGAGGAGTTAAGCTTCGCTCCTTGCGTTTTGAAGACTTCTAGTTTGACGTACTTTGGCGTATCAACGTCGTCGTCGCTTCCGGATGTGAGTGGTCTTGCTTGCCGTGTTATGAAGTCTCTGGTTCCTGGTTTTGAGAGATTGGCTCTCCGCGTGTTAGGAGGTAGTAGATGTTATCCTTGAATTGGCCGTGGGCATTCGGGGTAAGTCTCATTCGATTGTGCTCCAGAAGAGGAGGTGCTTTGTTTTCTCGTTTCTTTTATTTCTCTTAAGGTTTTATCGCCGGTTGCCTCTTTTTTAGATTTTGGTTTCGTTTCCCTTTTGATTTGGCTTAAAAACTTGTGTTATGTTTGTAGTTTTCCGATCGTTTCCCTTTTATAGGGCGTAGCTTCTGGGGAAATTTTATTTCTGCCGGCTTTGACTCCGGGGATATTTACGTCGTCCGCCGGCTTTAGTTTCCCTCTTTTGGGCTTTGTATTTCATCTTTGACACCAAATCAAGTTTTAATAAAATTCCAGTTGACAAAAAAAAATATTAAATGACATTTTCCCCTTTAATATATATTGATTTTTACACAATTCTTTTCTTTTTTCTTATCAAACACATAATTTCTCTTAATATATTTTATTTTCTACTTTAATTTCAACTCGATTACACCACAGAAATTTGCACACACAAAAATAAAATAAAATAAAAAAAGTAGGAAAGATCAAAGGAGCCATCTTTGAAGTGGGAAGATCGTCATGAGTAGTTGTAAAATCGATTTCATTCAGAAGAAATAGGTTAGGTCCTACTCAGATTAGAGTATAAGGATTCGTCATGAGTTCTCTTTCTCTCCTACTCATATTAGAGTAAGAACCCAAATATAATATAGTACTACTTCATTCAAAATTCAACCACTCCCACTTCTCCAAACCATAAACCATATATATATATATGGAAATTGCTACAACTATCTCTCTGCAGTCAAATCAGCCTTATGTCAACAACAACAAGAAAAAAAACAACAAATATTGCATTCAAATTGTAAGTTATAATGCATTGCTATTTGAAGTTTGGTAAAATTTATTTACAGTATTTGTAGTATTTTATAAGTACTGTATTTGACCCTCTTTTATTATTTGCAATTTTAAATTGAATACTATTTGTTTGGCGCCTAATTACCAAACTATATCTCCACAGACAAACAATGTATTTACTATTTGTATTTAAATTCAAAAAAATGATTATTTGACGTGTAATTTTTTGAACTAATCGATCTAACCACCAATATATGGGTGGAGTATTTAACAGTATACTGTACTACAAAATGATGTTTAGCAGTGACAACATTACCAACTAACCTAGGAACTACTGAAATTGTTTTTTTTTTGGGTGCGGATAGGTTAGTAGTGTGTTGGTTAGATTAGCTACACATCTCACTTTCTCAAATCAATAAAGTGTGTATCTTTCTAACATTATTATTCTATGATGATACCTCAAAATTTTTATGTTTAAAACGAGTCTTCGATGCCATGATTTTACAATCTTTACTTTTTTTTTTTTTTTTTTTTTTGAACAAACAATCTTTACTTACGTTTTCTTTTTTTTTTGTTGGCTGAGTTCTTTAATCATATTTTATCAGATTATTAGTATTATATTAAGGGGAATTAAATCATGTAAGAGAAACCCAATAAAGTAGGGGTGTGTTGGCAAACTAGTACGTTTTTGAAACATAATTATAAAGATAGTACATTTACTATTCACAATTAGCAAAATAGTACAATTTTACTATTTCAGATATTTGTACAGACAGACAACTGTACAGTAACATATTATTGTACATCAAATATTTGTACAAAGAGAAACAACTACATATAAACATATTTACACATAAACAAATATACATATATAAACCAGAATATATATGTACACATACAATTATACGTATATATAGACCGTTGTACGAATGATTTTCCGTACATCGACACACAACTGTACATAAGGTTAGCTGGACGTATCAAATTTGTTTGAAAAATATATGAAATTATTTTTTAAAAAATGCATATCAAATTATAGAGAAAAAAATACAGATTTTTGTGTAATTGAAATTTTATAGAAAACAAATATATTTTGATAAATTTTTTTAGTTATTATATTTAAGAGGATTTTTAATAGTGTCCAAATAGTAAAAATGTATTAATTTGCTAATAATAAATAGTAAATGTACTAATTATATAATTATGTTTCAAAAATGTACTAAAAGCCCAATTAATCCATAAAGTAGTTTGAAGAACAAAAAGACAACCTTTTTTGCCCTTTTATAATTTACACTTATACCCAGAAAGAAATAAAATAACATTCTGATCTCTCTCTCTCTCTTTCTGTCTCTCGTTGAGTGTGTCCATGAAATAATAATAATAATACCAGAGAGAGAGGGAGAGAGAGAGGGAGAGAGAGACTGTAATGTGGTGGCGAAGTTCGTGGCCACACTAATACTCTGCTTTGATGATGATGAGGAACCACAACAATGGCGAGCGAACCACTGATCTTGATTCTCGTCTCCTGCAGCAAGAACAGGATAAGCTCTTGTTCCATGACTTCTTAGGCTCCAAGACTCCTGCTTTACCCTCCCCTTCCATGGCTGACCACAGGCTACCTCCGGATTATAAGGCGGCTAAACCGGCCATGACTCCCTCTATGGCTTCGGCTTCCTCCGCCGGTGGACGCGGTGGTCTCTCCTCGACCTCCGATCTCGGTTCTGCTCTCCTCCCTTTCTCTCTCTCTCACTCTCTTTCTCTTGATGTGGTTTTGAGCTGATTCCTCTGTACACTTGTCGTTTCCATCTACAGAAAGTTCAAAATTTTTGTTACATAGATTCGATTTTAAAGTTCGATTCTTTCGTTTTCCAAGCCTGAATTAACAATCGAGTTTTGATCAACCATGATTTGGAAATGTAGAAGATCATGTGTCAGTGCTAGTTTCAACTTTTTAGCTCAATTCATTTATGACTCCATCTTTTAAGTAGGAAATGGAACATCTTTTGGGTGAAGTTAAACAAGATATGAGTGTACATTGTCTAGTTTTCTTCTCTTGCCTTTGTTTTAGTTTGAAAATTTTATAAACTTGAACATGGATTTTGGGTGAGCATGTGGTTGATTGAACTATAATAGTGAAGGACTCTGTCTCTCTGTCTGTCCAACCATAATGTCTCTGGTGGATTAGTTGGGACAGTGGGAGTGAATTTGACTGATGAGTTTGGTGGGTCATAGCCATTGGAGGTTGTACTGCTCTTTTGTATGAATTAGCCTTCTTTTTTTTTTTTTACTTCTCTTTCCCACTCTCTCCTTGAGTTCCTCCTACTGCAGTCTGATAGATTTTAACTTTTGTTTAGTGGAAAGACACAGCGGCGGGGGGAATCATCTTGATGGGATACAATTGTTTGGACCAAGAAGTGAGGTTTCTGGCTCGATTATGAGCAATCGATTTTCGGGAAACAAGAGAAGTACCTCGGATTCACACTTCTCAACGCAAGAGCACCCAGAGACTCTGCATTGGTCCAAGGTAAAAAAGAAAAAAAAAACACAACTTCACCATGTTCGTAGCTTCCATATAAGTTATAATTCAGTTTCTGTAATTTGTCATTGTAATAACCTAGTTGCTTAGAAACGGACCTGGAAGCTTCTCCATGAATGTGAATCCCTTGGCAAACCAGCCTCCACGTGGAGGAGGACAGATCAGTCATTTGCTTCATCAGCTGTCTTCAAGCAGGTTCAAAGATGAAAACGTAGGTCCATCAGCTATCGCTCAGACAGCTGCTGATGAAGGTTCACGAACAGGGATGAAAGGTCCCGGTATCTTGAGTTCTTTTACAATGCCAAACCCGACCAAGCTCGAAAGTTTTCCCCCTTCAAGGTCAGTTAGCTTCTACTGTTCTGTCTCTGGTCTTTTTGATACTATCTTCCGAGGCATTTCAATACATTTTGTATTTAGCACCGGAATTCGGAAAGACGTGAAGTCAAGTACTAAGCAAATGACCATCTTCTATGGCGGTCAAGCTCATGTCTTTGATGATGTTCTACCAAACAAGGTGATTCTCCTTAACACTTACATTCTTGAAATTCAAGTTATTTGACTACATATTGAAATCTAATAAAGTAGAGAAACTGGGAAGTCCATTATATATAAACGTTTTTTCTCTTTTGCAGGCGGATGTGATAATGGCCTTGGCAGGATCAAGCGGGGGCTCATGGTCTACCGGTTTGTCGCATAAACCAAAGTCAAAGAACAACACAAGTGACTGTCCATATAAAATAGACCAAATGTATGAAGGAGGCAGCTCTAGAGAAACACCGCTTTTGGTTACGGATTTTCGTGCAAGGCCAAGTCATCAAGCTACATCCAGGGCCTGTCAGCGGATCTTTTCACAACAAGGTGACTAATTTTTAAACAAAATCATATTTCAGCAGAAATTTTGGTTAGCGTCTTACAAATACACAATGGAGTGGAGCAATCAGGTCTTGTTCTGCATTGTGAGACATAACAAATAAAGAGTTATCAACAGTTCTGGGTTTTGTCAGCTTTGAATCTTTTTGTCAGGCCATTAAAACATGTGCATATATGATTTGCAGGTAGAGAACATCAAGGAAGTATCATCTCAAGGGGACGAGATACCAGAGATCCGGTTCACATATCAGATCCTGAAAAAGAAGCCACATGATTTAGTCTGGATATGAGAGACGTGCTTAGTTGTCTTTTTTTGGCAAATTATCTAAGTTGTTATTTGTTCGAGTTAAAAGCTTTGTACAATGCTCTGTACCTTTCTAGGTTTATATTCCGAATTTATTACCCTTAATGATTTAAAGTATAATTTCCCCATAGCTAGTATATAAACAATTGGTCAAACAAACCTGCTTTTTCTAGGCCAACAGATTTTCATATATGTGTAAGGTTGAGCATATGGATACAGTATCACAAGAGAATCATGTCTAAACCAACTCTGGAAGTCTGTAACTCGAAAGGAGAGTCACCTCATATCACCTTATTCAACCCCTTCTTTCGAGTCAGAGGTGGTTACAACAGATATTTGACTCCTCAGCCTCTCATTCTCAGTACATTCCTCCTGCAATTGAAAAAATTAGCACTATATAAGTAGATGACTCTCGGGAGTTGAATCGTTATATCAGTATAACCACTTGTTTCCTCTTTTGTGCTTACCTGGAATGCTCTTAGTACAGTGTAGCATTTCCTTTGCTCTGCAGCTGCAGCAAGATACTTTTCTTTTGAAGCATCACGAAGCCTCTGCTCTTCTAGAAGCCCAAGTTGTACTTTTCCTATCTTCTGCACTTCAAACAATTTGTCACGACAAGTCATACAGCTAAAGTTATGTAAGATGGGCGAGATTCATTCTTTGTGCCCCAAATACCTAAATGAATATAACTCTCTTACCTGTTGGATTCCTTTCATTACTCCTTCCATAGAATCAATAAGCTTCACACGGCCAGCAGGACGGCCAATCACGTCTTGAAACTACATTGGAGTCAACGGCTAATGAGGAAGAATTGTGAAACTTTGACTCACCAAGAGATATACTAAAAGGGGAAAGCAAAACGTAAATCAACTTAATATGAACCTAGCCTTTTCTCAACGATAAGTACATAATAACTAAAGGTATAAAACTGAGAGCAGTAAAAACTAAAAAGCAGATGACGCCAGTTACAGAAAATCTACAAAACAATAACGCCTGTAATGTACCTGTGAACCTATTGAATTTAATAATGATGTCTCCTTTAGCATCAAATCTTTGATTTCTAAAAGAGCATTGTATGTTGCATAGAGCTTCCTAGTTTGCTGAAGTTTCTCCTGTTTTTTAGTCAGAAATTGAACAAATGTTCAAGCTTGTAAGTTCATTTTCAACTACAGAACAAACCTGCAAAGCAACACGGCAAATATTAATTTGACCATTCAAACCTGGATACAGACATTCAACTCTGAGAATCTTCTTTCATATCTGCACGGAATGTAATGTAGAACTTTAGCATGAGACAAATACAAAGCAAGGGGGAAATTAACCATAATGAAACTGGATTCCCTTTGAACAAAAAAAAAAGAAACTGGATTCCTAAAAGCAAGACGCAAAGGAACTTGACTTCTGAAATAATGATTCCACACCTTTACAACAGAATTAAAGATATATGCTCATCAAACTAGAGGGAGTGGGGTTAAAACAGATACATTGTTGAGATGGACGAGTTTCAATGCTAACTAATACACAAATACAAGTGCCAAATCCAAGGCATCGCCTTTGAAGAAAGCAAGAAATAGATAAAGAAGGGCATACTGGAGGAGTTCTGATTGGCATGGCACATCATCAATCTGTCGTTTCAGTGACACTATTTCTCTAAGCGTTGCTGCAAGCTCCTACAGTAAAACAAAAGAAATGCAGTAATAACCTTTTAGAAAGACATTTAAAAAACCTGAACTTTACTCCATGATGCTCAAGATGCATAGAGGCTTGTCTATAGCTTAGATAGAGTACCTTCTTTGCTGAAGTCAGATTATCTAAAGATTCAACCAACAAACCATCTAAATATTCCTCTTGAATCTCACCATCATGCCCCTTAGCGACACTCTCTTTCAAATCATGAACCGCACCTTCTAAAGCAGAACGCCTAGCATTGCAATTAGACCGGACTTCAGATTCCTCTTTTTCTAAATCCTGAAAAAACCTACAACTATTGAGTTCCACACAGGGCCAGTTACAAAATAGTAATGAAAACAGAAACTTTTGGTAACCCTCAACACTTATTAACCTTGAGTGATCTCAAAAGCTGTATCAACTCCTGGACTGAAACATCAACACCTTCAGCACTTATTCTTTCTTGCAGCTGCTGCAGTGTATCCTTAACATCACATTTTCTCTGATTCTAAGTTACAAATGGCGACAGATTAAAACCTATCAGTGTAATTTGATCAAAAACACCAGTGTATAAGATAGACTAGGAAATAAGAGACGTGAAAGGGTTGCACCTGTTCATTCAGTGTCACACTCAATTCTCTAATAGACGCCTTTAGATTTGTCACCATTACCTCAGGCTGCCCTGAAGCACATTCCTCCTTCCCAGAAATACAAACCTGTGGTTCTAGAGTATATCAGAACTTCTTCCGAATCTAATAGATCAATTGAGCATCGAACATTTCATTCTTCGAGTACAAAACTTCAGGGATCAAAACCATAGCACAAGAACAAACAAAATCAAGCAAAAAGCTCCTTCTAACCTCGTCACTGTTATATTCCTTCTCCATCACCCGATCACGCAAAACCGGGAATTCTTCCTTCGCTGCCGGAGAATCCGAGTTCAGCGACTCGGAAGATCGACCTCAGAGACGCCGGAGCCTTCACGATTGAAAGAAGACGACTTTTCACCGGCGTAAGCCAAATCTAAAGGGCCACACTCTATAAGTTTGCGACTGGAATTTCGTAATGGCGTTAATAGCTTTCGCGTTTGCGTTTGCGTTTGATGTATGACTCACAATTTCAGTTTTGATTGTTTTTTTAACGCGTAAATATACTCATATATGCATTAAAAAAATTCAAGCAGCAACTACCAAAAAAAAAAAAAAAATCAAGCAGCTGAACCGAACCAATACCGAAGCGAAGAGTGTCAGTAATGATTAAAGCTGAGCCAAAAGGACTAGTAAGATTACAACAAGAGTTTTTCACAATTCCTCAAGATCCCAATTTCGTCAGATCATACAACAACATTTGTTTTTCAACATCTGAAAAACTATCTTGAGATCGAGATAATGGCCGAGAGAGAGGAGAGGAGAGAACTACAAGTTAAAAAAAAACCCCGAGATTAATAATAATACCTAAACACAAACTTCTGTTTTCCTCTCATTGATATCACTTCCACAGCTTCACTAGCTTGTCGTGACTTGCTGATGCAACCAATCCAGTTGCGGTTGACACCGCCAATGAAGCTATTAGCCCTTCGTGAGCTGGTAATGTCATCGTCTTGTTCTCTGACATGTTCCATAGTTCTAAAGACTGCATACATACACAAAACACAGTTCACAAGTTTAGAAGTAAACTTATGATTTCTTGATTAGTTTTCATTCCAACTTTTTAAACAGTCGTTGTTATCATTTCAACTTTACCTGGTAGCAGCCAATTACGAGCAGCGAGGGGTAAGCGGGATGGAAAACACAAGACTGGAACTTGTTACCGTTGCAGCTCAGCTCATGAACACATTCTCCTTCACTACCTGTACCAAGCGTCCAAACTTTCACCATATCTTCGCTAACCGAAGCCAAGAAGTCACCAGAAGGATCCCAGCAAACCGAGTTTATCGGATTAGCATGCCCCTATCACAGAAGAATTAGTAAACCTTCTTTTGAGATGCAAAATATTTCACAAATCCGAAACCGAATAAGAAAAGTTAGACACTAAACCTGCAAAGAGTGTCGAATAGCTTGTGTTTCGACATCTAGTACATTGACAAGATTTGCTGATGAAGCCGCGAGATACTTTCCAACACGGGGTTGGAACCTCATCTGGGTGGAACCACCCTGTGGAAAGACAAATGTATAATTAATTGTATTGATTGCTAACTAAAGTAAATAATGTTGAATCATTGGTTTCAAGAGAGGAAGAAACGTACCTTGTACACTCTTGTGCAACTTCCATTGTTGATGCTCCAGTACCTTATTTCGTTGTCATTGTCACAGGAACATATGAGATCATCCTTGATGGGATGGAAGTCAAGTGACGTAACCATAGAAGAATGTCCCATGAAAGTACGAAGGGAATAACCTTTCTGCAAAGTTGATTCACACACACTTAAGATCACAACGTCCGAAACCAATATATTCACGTAGAAATAAAAAAAAAACATAGTGAAAACGATCAACTTTCACTTTACATTATCAGCATCCCACACCCTGACAGTTTTGTCAAATGAAGAAGTCGCAAGGCGAGACAGGCTTGGACTAAAACGGATATCTGTTATCATAGCTGTGTGCTCCTCAAGGGTTGTCTTTGGCTTCATACTGTCTGTGTGCCACAGTACAGCCTGCAGGATGAACCATGCCACGAGGCTTAATTTTTAGAACGCCAATAGACCTAATGATGATTTCTAGCTTACCTTTTTGTCATGTCCGGCACTAGCAAGCATTTTTCCATCCGATGAGAAGTGGCAACAGGTAACTTTGCTTGTGCTCGCGCGTACTGAATTCACTTCAGTAAACGTGAAACCTAGTGCAGAGCCATAGTTGTAGAAATTTAGAAATACTGTTGGATTACAGAAGCAGAGTTCACTGTGTTCTTGTCGAATGATATTGAGTGAGACTAAAACACGCACCTTTACTGACATCCATACACCGAGTAACAGCATCTCGTTGATCACCATCCTCCTGGGATAAAAAAGACTCAACATTGTCGTCGAGCGACCCATCTTCCACAAATCGATCCATATCAGCCTGCAAAATAGTCAATTATTGATGCTGCTAATTATTCATTACGAAAACAACTACACACTCCCATCAACAGTTTAAGGAAACCCACCAACTGATTGGATGGAGATGTAAGAGTCCCAGTTCCTTCAGTGCCAAACATCATCATTGATTTGGACGAACCACCACTGTGCGGCAGATTAGGCATAGAAATCACATCTCCAGGAGTATGAGTTGAAGGTGTTGAAGGTGCTGAGCTTGGTGATGGTCCCGCAGTGTTAGCTGTTCCTGAACTATTAGCTGGTCCAGAAGACGAAACTGGTTGCTTTCTTTTCCTCCCAGTCTGATTCTTCAATACCTTCAGTTAATTGCAAAAGAGTTTAGGAACTAACCTCAGCCTCACCAGAGACTAAAAACTTATGTAAAA